CCACTGTGCAGGTGCTTGTCCTTCATTTTAGAAGAGGACCAATGACATGAAGGGTGATGTCTTGAGTTGCAGGTAAATTAGATTTAAGTGAGGCAGAGCTCTCTTCCAGAGTCATCAAAGTCCAGTACCAGGACAAAGGTCAAGATGACCAAGATGGCCTGGGATGCAGTGGATGACCTCGGCATCTTTGATGCTTGACCAAGCTCTAAACATTCCATAGCACCTACTCCAGATGCCTTCATGGCCAAAGGAACCCAAACATGCAGGTAAAGTCAGTACCGAGTATTCATCTTGGGGGAAAAGTTGAGGGGAACCTTGGACAGGGGAGCGGAGCTTAGAATAATGCATCTGTCATTGGAAAAGCTGCCATTTTAATGCATTCATCAGAGAAATAAAACATGTAAATTCTTGGACAAAATGATTGTGCCAAAAATTTTTCTTGTTCATCCAAATTAAGAGTTCACTCTCTGGATTTTTGGTTATGTGAATAAATGCATGCTGCTAGCAAGGGAAATGTTTGTTTCTTATCTTGTCTATGTTTATATTGATAGCTTTTCAGTATGAAAGGTGCTCAGTCCATAAACTGAACTGAGGGCCATTTAAAAGGTTTTCCTCCAAGGATTCCAAAAACAGCATAGAAAAAAAAAGAATTTAAAATTAGATATAGTTTACAATGTCATAGTGTAAACCTAAAGCTCAATTTAAAGGCAATGAGAAGCTACTAGGGGCTCTCAAAAATAGAAAATGCTAAGCATACAACTCTTTGTACAATTATTACCTCATTGAGAGCCCAGATGAGTGACTTCAATTCCTGATTCCCCAAAAGCAAGAAAATAGAGTGATTTTTCACTTAAACAGGGACCATGCAAGGCCCTCATTTGTGCCAGCTATCAAAATCTCTTTCAAGGTCTAACTTAGAAAAAAAAAGCCATGATTTTGGAAACCATTGTATAGAAATGGTTTTTATATTTTATAATACTGTAATGTGATTGCTTTGCAACATTTGAGGTCTTCCTTGATCAGAATTCTGTGATTGCTCATCAGAGCAAGATTGAGTCTGGAAGAGAGAGTACTCTTAGTTTGGTTAATGTCTATCTAAAGTATTCAAATGTATCTATGCCAGACTATGAAAGCATCAATTTGCATTTGCTACTGACCTTGGAAATGCTTATCAGTAGATGTTGCAATTGGCCTTGCATATAACCTTCTCAGGGACTAGAAGATATCATTCCAGTACAGGAAGTACTATGAAGGTGCCTCCACAAATGAATAATAACAAGCTGTTTCCAGGAACCTAGCGTTCAAGAAAGTTAAAAAAAAAAAAGTTTAGTAGGAAAACGCAGGCCATAACCAACCTTTGGTCTTTGTTTTGTAAAGCCTTTACAAGGGGGGGGTTTTCAGAAGTCAGGCCCAGGCCATTCTAGTAATGGCCAGCCAGGCAATTTAGAGAAAGGAGATCTAGGCTGGCCGAACAATTATGACTTAATTTTGTCATTGCTGCAGTACAGAATTTTGGTCAAAGGAAAAAAGAGATGGGCTGAAAATTTGTCTTTAATAGCTCAACAATATACTTGTAATAATCGTAGCTGCCTTATCCACCAGCTAGGTAACCCAGTCCTAGAGTCAGGAAGACGTTCAGATCTCACCTTTGATACTTCCTAGATCTGTGCCCCTGGGTGGGTCACTCAACCTTTGTTTGTCTCTGTTTCTTCATCTATAAAATGGGGTTAATAATAGCAACTGACTACCAAGGTTGTTGTAAGGATAAAATTAGATGATATTTGCAAAGTGCTTTGCAAACCATAAAGCATTTCATACATGCTAGCTTTTGTTATTATTATTGTTATCCCACCAAACACATCATTTTGGGAAACTGGATGAAGCAAAGAACTGGTTACTTGGTTTAGGAGACGGCTCTTGGAGTCAGGGAGACCTGTGTTCTCCCATGGATTCTTGCAAACTATGTGGCCCTGGTCAAATTACCTAGTTGACCTCAGCCTCAGTCTTCTTATTTGTGAAATAGCATCTACTTCACAGGGTAGTTGTGAGGTTCAAGTGCCTTGCAGATCTTAAAGTGCTCCAGAAAGGCTGGCTAGTAAGTCAAAGAGAACAGCACACAAAATTTGGGGCATTTTCTTTTGTTATCATGGAAGTTGATTCTAACCAAATGACAAAATGCTAGAATAGCTAACTAACATTTATACAATGCTGTAAGGTTTGCAAAACACTTTACAGATGTTATCTCATTTTATCCTCACAACAACCCTAGGAGGGAGGTGCTATTATTATTCCCATTTTACAGATAGGCATGCTGAGGCTGAGAGAGGTTTGATGACTTTCCAAGAGTCATACAGCCAGTCTGAAGTATATACTGTATTTGAGGTAAGATTTGAACTCAAGACTTCCTGACTCCAGACCCATATATAGTACGTTTAGTATATATGTTTTTAGGCTGAATTGAAATTAACCCTGCTAATAAAGTAGACTCCAAGGCAGTTGGGAATGGGAAACTGAAGGACTTTTATAAACGGATTACTGTTAATACCCAAAAAGGCTGCTAAAAGCCGGACCGTCAATATTAACCTCATTTATTCCACTCCAAATAAGCCTTTGCCTTATTAAGGGCTAATAAGGGTTAACGGGTTAGTGGTTTAAGGATTATATGGTATAACTGTGACGGATTTGTGTATGAATGGGAAGCATCCCTGTTGTTCATTACCCAGTCCAGGTGACAGAGTCATGGTGGACTGAGGAAGGGACCTCTTCCTAGGAGTAGTGTTCCAGGGTGAGGAGTAATCATAGCCCCTAGACTGTGTATTGAGCAAGGAGCAAATTTAAAAGTAGGTAGCAGTTGTGTGGCTCTGGTGGGGTCTCAGTTCCAACTTCTAGCCTAGTCTGAAGCAGGAATACCAAACCAAAGCAGAGTTTTCAGTTCTGTCACTCTGAATTCAAGACTATCCAGTTGGCTAATAGTAGTTGAGTTGAGCAGCAATCTACTGGAACTCAAACCAGGGGCAAGTCGATATGTATGTTGCTCAGACCCAAACCTGGGTCAGTAACATGTAAAGATCATATCAAGAAGGCTGAGATCATACTTTGCCCTGGATCAGATCACTTTGGAAACATTGAAAGTTTGTAGGTTTCCAGCCTGAGCTGTCTCTGACATTCTGGAATAACTCAATATTCAATTCCTCAAAAAGCAGCAGCAGGACCTGCCCAGATTTTCCTTCCAGTAGTACACAAACCCTGACCTAACATCTAAAGTCAGGAAGGGGGGGGCAGGTAGGTGGCACAGTGGATAGAGCACCGGCCCTGGATTCAGGATGACCTGAGTTCAAATCTGGCCTCAGACACATAACACTTACTGTGTGACCCTGGGCAAGTCACTTAACCCCATTGCCTAGCCCAAAACAAAAAAAACCAAAACAACAATAAAGTCAGGAAGCAGGCTTGGAAAAATGACCAAACAAAAAAAGAATCCCACCATAATCAGTTGCTTCCTAGTGTGGTTAAGACAACTTGACTGCACTTGACTAGCATCTGGGAGAGATGACAAAATAAACAAGCTGATGGGCTAATAAAACTGACTGGGGTTGTTGGTACCTCCATTAGAAGAGAACGGAATCTTCCTGTGGCATAAAGAACCATCTGGGCTTATTGATCTCTAGCAACTTCTATAGCCTGGGAGAAGGAAAATGTCTTTGGTGTACCTCTGTTCCCTTCTACTGCTTTCTCTGGTTTGGGAGGGAGAAACCAAGGGGAATCACAGAATGTGTATCTGCTTTGTTGTGGGAAGGGTTCTGTGGTTGACTGGACAAATCAGAGTACCCTGCTATTTGAAGAGTTGATTGGGGGAAAGTCTTCATTATTGCCATGTACAGTTTGAGATGCAGAAATTTCTCAGAGCCCCAGAGAAGATCTGAGGAACTTGTCAGTTTTCTGGCTTAAGGAAACTGCTTTGCAGTGGAAGAACATAATATGTTCTCAGTGCCCTGCTAAAGGTGGTTGTATATTAAAAGAATCTGTCGTTTTTTTAGCAGCTTTGCCCAGCAGGTCGTTCCTGTTGTTGGCTGTTTTCTGAAGAAACCCTGGCCATCAAGATCGGCTACCCAGAGTTATAAGTTGCCCTAAGCATTTGGGTTTCCCTAGTCACTCACCTACCTGCTAGATTTCTCAAAAGGTAGTCCTCCCCACAGATACTATATGCATTGGTAGGAGTGCCTGACTCAGACTTAGGAATCACACCCTCCTGGTTCTTGCCTTCTATTGAGTAAATGCTATTAGGTTATGATTATTCTTTGCTTTTGCCTTATTAAGGGTTAATAAAGGTTACAGGGTTAGTAATGAATGTAAAGGCTACATGGTATAACTGTAACTGATTTTTGTATGAATGGGAAGGAATGCATACACACACCCACACCCACCCCACCCCATACAGCAGGTTTTGTCTGGGCTGTAGCCCTGACACCCTTGGAAACCATCCCCAGCAGGTCAGCTGAGTGAGCCAGCCCACAGAGAAAAGGCGGTGGAGGCCAAGTCCATATGGATATGGCATGGCTATATGTGGGTTCATCTAGAGCTAGAAGGGACCTCCGAGGTGCTAGTCCAACCTCCTCATTTCACAGCAGAGGAAACTGAGGGGGCGAAGTGCCTTGCCTAAAGTCACGCAGCTAGAAAAAGGCAAAAACAGGATTTGAACCCAGAGCCTCTGACTCCAAAGCCAAGGCTCTTTCCACACTGTTGATTTATTTTGCTTAATTATATTAACCTATTACTTGTGAGGAGGGGAGAGTTAATGAGTAGTGCTGAAGATACAAAATAAAGAAAGAAAAGAGCAGCAACAAAATATTAGCCAAACTGGAAAGTCTCCCTCCCCTCCAGCTGAGGCCCAGGATTTTTATAAAGGGGCCTCTTGCTTCTCCTGGAGGTCTCCTGCAGTGAGGAAGCGCTCGGGCACTACTGCGCACGCGCCAGCCTTCACGCCGCAGGGGGCCCCGCCTCCCTGGGTTATTGGCGTTCGCAGGGCATTGTGGGCATTGCAGTCCGCAGCCGTCGGGATCCAGCGCACAGCAGCGGCGTCGGCTCTAGCGGCAACATGAAGAGGTGAGAGCTCCCGGGGCTGGGGCCGCGGGCGCGGGGCTCAGGGCCCCGGCTTCGCCCCGTCGCGGGCCAGGAAGTGACCGTTGGACTCCCAAGTCCTTCTTGCACTGGCCCCTTCCTGCTTGTGGGAGAGGCGGCTTCCCAGGGAGCGGGGGTGGGGCGCCCCGAGATGGGGATGCGGGGACGTGGGGTGCAGCGCCAATTCCCCTTATTCGGGCCCGACGCGGCTTATACGGGACGGGGGAAGTAGACGTCCTGTCCCCTCTGTTCTCCTTCTTCCTTCGTTATAAAGGGGTCCAAAGGCAGAATTGGGGAGGGGAAAGAGAAGGAGGCAGGTTTGAATTCCCCAATAACCTCAGACGAGAAAGGGGGTGCCCTAGGGGTTGGGACGGAGGCGCCCTCTGCAGGCACTGCAGGGGACGCGGCTTGCCTCCCCTGAGGACTGTGACTAGCTGCTCCCCGCTGTCATTAACCTGCATCGGATTCCCCCAGCAGCCCTCCCCCGGCACCCCACTGCCACCCACACGCCTCCCCAGCCCATCCCGGCACGGGGCAGCCCATTTCCGGCTAAGTTGCATAATCGCGGCTCAGCTCGGTGAGGTGGGTATTTGGGTGAATTGCGATCGTTTACAAATCCTTCTCCTGGGTTTGTTGGTAGAAGAAAGACTGGCTGTCAAGGAGGAGGAAAATGGCCAGAAAGCTAGGCAGGGTGGTTGGTTAGTCCTTGAAATCGGAGGGTGAAGGGGGCGGGGGAATCCTTGCCCTAACCATTTGCCATGGGTCCCTCGGACGACGGCGCTACTCAGTGTTCCGCCTCTCTGCCTCGGCACCCTCACTGTCTGTCTGTCTGTCTGTTTGTCCCCCCTCCCCATGCCCAGATTGCTCGCTCCCTCCTCCCCTCCCAGACCACCAGCTCCCCCGGAATGTACTACGCTGGCAAGGGCACGCAGTCGGCTGCCTCCTGATCGTCAGTCGGTGTCTTCAGTAGCTTTGCACCGATAGCTTTTGTTTTTACATCGCCTACAATCCCCTCTGCATCCCTCCTCCTCCTTCTTCCCCCTCCCACTGAGCCATCCCTTATAACAAAGACTTTTTTTGAAGGGAGAGGGGGAAAAGGGAGAAGAGAAAAAGATTTGGCAAAACTGATCAATACATCGAAAAAAATCTGACTCGATATGTATGCAATGGTCCACACCTGTGGCCCCCTCCCCCTCTCCCCCTCTGCAGAGAAGTGGGGGGAGGGGATGTGTATTCATTCTCCTGGCCCTTCCTTGGGGCCAAGCTTGTTCTTTCTCATTTCATAGCATTCGTTTTCGATTGTTCTGTAGAGATTCTTCCATAAATTGTTTTCCTGGCTCTGCTGCTTTGATTCTGCATCAGCTCATCCAAGTCTTTCGTGCTTCTCTGTATTCATCATGTTTGCGGTTTTTTTTTTTAAACAGCACGGTAATATTCCAACATTCGTGTATCACAATTTGTTTAGCCATTTCCCCATCGATGGGCATCCACTTTGTTCTTTGCTATCGCAAACAGTGCTGTTATAAATATTTTGGTATATATGGAGCCCTTCTTTTTGTCTGTGACCTCCTTGGGGATCTATGTCTAGCAGTAGAATCTTTGGGTCAAAGGGTAGGGGCATTTTAGTTACTTAATTTGCATAATTCCACGTTGCTTTTCGGGATAGTTATACTAATTCCCAGCTCCATTGACAGTGCTTTAGGGTGCCTCTCTTTCCACCACCCCTCTCACTTTTGACTATTCCAATCTTTTGTCGTTGCCAATTTGCTGGGTGTGAGGTGAATCCTCGGGTTATTTTGCATTTCTCTTATTATTAGGGATTTGGAGCATTCTTTCATATAAGGTTTGTTAATAGGTTTTCCTTTTGAGGACTGTTTTTTCCCCCGTATCCTTCCGAGTCAATCTGGCAACAAGCATTTAAGTGCCTACTGTGTGCCAAGCACTGTGCTAATCGCTGGTGATAGAAAGACAAAAAACATTGGAGACTGGCTTTTGTTCAGTATTACTAATTATTAGTAGGATTGACAGCATGTCGACACAGTGCTTGGCTGTAGTAAGTGCTTAATAAATGTTATATCAGATTGTTTCCCATGTGCCAATAACAGTGCTAGGAGATTGCCTTCAAGGCACTAGAGCCAGATGGGACCTCAGAAGCCGTCTAGCCTAACCTTATTTTACAAAGGAGGAAACTGAGGCCCAGGGGAGAGAAGTGACTTGCCCAAGATCACACATAGGAACATAGTTGTAGAGCTAGAAGGGACCTCAGAAGTGGATGCTGGGTAGGGACAATCCAAGGTAGGCCTTGGCCAAAGTATGAGGGGCTATAGGCCAGGTGGGCAAGGAATTCAAGAATAGAGGCTGGGGTAAAGTTGAACTTTTGAAGCCAGAGCTGGAGTGATGGCCTAGCCCAGCACCAAGGGGCAGGGGCACTAGGGGAATGAAGCCTAGGGAGACAGGAAATGAGAGGAGGTTATGGTCCGAAGGAATTTCACTCTTCTTAACGATGGGAGTGGACCCTTGTGGGTGATGGTGAGATCAAGGGTGTGACTCTTTGTGTCCCTTTGTGTGCCTGAGGAGGAGGGAAAGATCTTGGTCTTTAGAGAAATTTTCGAACTGAGGTATCTAAAAAGAAATTTGAGTTAATATGTACTGTCTTACTACTTCTCTAACTTAAAGTCATTTAAAGTTAAATGAGATTTTTAGAAATGAAATTGAAATGTTGCATAAAATTTTAAAACCAAAGTCTTTCTTTAGGGATTATTTAACATATTTGAGATATAAGCCCAAATCCCTGAAAAGTTTTAGTAATTTTGCTTGCTTATGGAAAATATTTTTCCCTGGCTTTCCTATAACCCGACTAGTAAAGGATTGATGATGATTTTGTTTTGCTGGTTATGTTGGTTTTTTTAAAAAAAAATGAATTTAAGGAAAATCCTCATCCATGTTAAACTCTTTTTATCTTTCCAAATTCTCTTCCAATCTTACTGTACCTGTAACATAGTTGTAATGAATGTACTCAGTTTAATAGTGTAATCTAGCCTGTGTTTTCTTTTTTTCACTTAACGCTTTTCTGTACACACATCTTTATGCATCACCGTGGTCTTGAGTCCCTTTTCGTTCTTATAGCAGAATTGTCTTGATTGTTCCTCTAGAGTGGGGTGTTTGGGTTGTTTCCAGGTCTTCATTTGTATAGATAATGCTACCATGGACCTCTTTCCACATTTTTTTTTTAGTTATTTTCTTTGCAACACATCCCTTAAAGAGAAATTACTCAGTCAGATGGTCTGAATGGTGTTCTAGCTCTGCTTACAGTTTGCCAGAATGTTCTCTTAAGAAGACTGCACCAATTTTACAGTGCCACCAGCAATGTTTGCTTCCATATTTTATGCATACCAGGCTCCTGATAAGTGCTTGTTGAATAAATGCATGGATTTTTACGATTTTAATAAGCAATTAATGTGCATTTCTTTCATTGTCAGCAAACCTGCACAGCTTTTCTATGTGATGAATTACTGGTTATATTTTCTAAATCTCCTTTAACCATTTATTTAATGAAGTCTGTGTCTTGACCTTATACCAATTTGTGATATACTTTGGGTCATAAGCTTTTATTAATTACATTTATGACATAATAGTTTTTCCAATTCCCTTGCTTGTTAAAGGGCTGCATTTGGCTTTCCCCATGTAGTAAATTTAGAGTATTCATTCAACAGCTATTTCATAGCTATTGAATATCTGTGTAGATGGATGTAGATATATAGATATCGAATGAAACTATTCATCATGCGTCAATCTCTGTACTGGTCCCAAGAGAGGAGGCAAGGGGAGTGGTAGAGATAGGGATGGGAGAGGAGGAATAAGACACAGTTCTTACCTTCAAGGAGTTAATAGAGGGGTTGAGATCCATATACAGATAACTATTACAGACTGCAGAATATGGCAGATGTCACAGGACAGGTATACAGTGATATTGGGGTTTTGTGGAGGGAGAGATCACCTTTGGTTAAAAGAATCAGGGAAAGTGTTCATGAAATAGCAGTTTAGCTGGACCTTTAAAGATTGGGTACAATTTCAGCAGGTAGAGGAGAGAGACACTCAGTGTAGGTGGAGGGGACCACTAGACCACCAAAGATGTGGAGATTGGGAAGCGCTGGACATATTAGGAGGCTCACAGGTCTAGAGAACAGGGTAAGGAGAATAACTGGAGATTAGGCTGGAAAGTTGGACTGAGGCTAGAACACGGAGGGCCTTGAATGCCAGGCTAAGGAATTTGGATTTAATTTCATAGATAATGTTTTTGAGCAGTATGAAAACATAATCAAAGTTGTACATTAGGAAGAATAATTTGACAGCTGGTGTAGCATGAGTTAGAGAAGGGGTGAGACTGAAGATGAGGAGACCTGTTGAGAAGCTATTACATATATGCTAGCAAAACATAATTTAAAGGAAATGGTTGATTACTTACAAAAATGTAAAATCCCAAATTAATAAAACAGGAAATAGAGATTGTAAACAACCCAGTCTCAGAAAGGGAAATTGAACACACCATAAAGGAACTACCAAAGGGGGTGTGTGTGCAAAACCCTGATCTAGACATAGAAATAAATTCTTGTTTAAAATATAAATTTTTATTAATATCTTTTTTGTGTCACCAAAATTTCCACCAGTGCCCCTCCTTCTTACACCTTCCAGAGAGCCATGCCACCTAACAAATAACATTTTTAAAAGAAAAAAAAAAGAAGAGGAAAAAATCAGCAAAACTGATCAGTGCATCAAAAAAGTCTAAAAATGTGTGCAATGTACCATGATGGTAGACGCACCCAACCTCCTCTGCAAAGAGGGTACAAAAGACATCTCTTCTTTTGAGCCGTACTTGTTCTTTGTCATTTAGTAACATTTGCTTTTGATTTTTTTTTTTGTGGTTCTTTCCATTTACATTATTGTAATCATTCTGTATATTGTTTTCTTGGCTCTGCTTACTTCATTCTGCATCAGTTTGTGTAAATCTTTCCATGCTTCTCTGTATTCAGCATATTGATTGTTTCTTATAGCACAGTACTATTCCATTACATTCGTGTACCACAGTTTGTTTAGCTGTTCCCCAATTAGTGGGTACATTTACTTTGTTTTCAATTCTTTGTTCTCATAAAAAGTGATACTATAAATATTTTGTATATATGGGGGCCTTCTTCTTATGCCTGGCCTCCTTGGGGTATATGCCTAGTAATGGAATCTCTGGCTTAAAAGGTATGGACATTTTAGTCACTTTGTTTGCATAATTCCATATTGCTTTCCAAAATGGTTGTACTGATTCACAGCTCCACCAACAATGCACTAGTGTGCCAGTCTTCCCATAATCCCTCCAACATTGACTATTGCCATCTTTTATCATCTTTGCCAGTTTTCTGGGTATGAAGTAAAACCTCAAAGTTGCTTTGATTTACATTTCTTTTATTATCGTTGGTGATTTGGAGCATTCTTTTATATATATATATATATAGTTGTTAGTTGTTTACAATTTTCTTGAGAATTGTTTATATCCTTGGATCACTTATCTATTAGGGAATGGCTTTTGATCTCATATCTTAATTTTTTATATATGTTGGATGCCAGAGCCTTATCAGTATAATTTGGTACAAAGGGTTTTTTTCTCCCTTTTTGATCACTTCCTTTCTTATCTTGGTGCATTAATTTTTTCTTGCAGAAACTTTTCAGTTTCATTTAATCAAAATTATTCATTTTATGTTGTAATTGCCTCTCTCCCATATTTGGTTAAGAATACATCTCCTACCTGTAGCTGTGAAAGGTAAATGATCTGCTTGTCTAATTTTTTACAGTATGATCTTTAATATTAAGGTCAAGTATCTATTTTGAATTTATTGTGGAATATGGCATGAGATATTGGTCTAAGCCTAATTTACCATCAGACTGCTTTCCAGTTTTCCCAACAGTTTTTTATAAATAGGGAATTCTGTTCTGTGCAATTTACATTTTCTGGTTTATTGAATACCGAGTTCCATTGTTTAATTCTCCCTTATCTAGTTTTTTCAGTTATCTATTTCTCTATTTTTTCACCAATACCAGCCAGTTTTGATGACTCCTGTAGTGGATAGTGAGCTGGGCCTAGAGTCAGAAAATGGGAGTTTGAATCTTCCTTCAGATACTGGGTGTCCCTTGGCAAGACACTTACCTGTTCTGTGCATAGTTTCCTCATCTATGAAGTGTACCTTCTTTACAGAGTTGTGAGAGTTGAGACAAATGAGGTAATAATGTGGAGCATTTTACACAACTGAAATTGCTCTATAAATTTACAGGTAAATTCCATCGAATATTTAAAGAGCAGTTGAAACCTGTGTTACACAGATTATCCTCAGTAATCGAGAGGGGTTAGACTAACTGGATGGCCAATTAAGAGGCCTTTGCAGTAGTTTAGGGGAGAGATGATGAGAGCCTGAACTGGGGTGATGACCATGTGAACAGAGAGAAAGGGGGTAGATGGGCTATCACCATGTTGCCAGTGTTGAAATGACGGTTGTTGGCTGGCGGGGGGCGGGGGGGGTGTTTGGAAAAGGGGAGACTCAAAGATGGTCTTCAAGACTCCAGATCTGACTAATTAGAATGATGATACTCTCAGCAGAAATGGGGAAATTTGGAGTTGTGCCTAGTTGCCTAAGATATGATGAATTTGAGATGTCTACAGGACATCCATTTGGAGATGTCCAATAGGCCTATCTGTCCTGTGGGACTGGAACTTAGGAGAAAGATTAGGGCTGGGTATATGGATCTGGGAGTCATCTGCATAGATATTATCATTGAACTGATAGGAACTGATGAGTTCTTCAAGGGAGAGTGTAGAAAGAATAGAGAGGGTTTGGGGATATTCACACAGTTGTTCCGTCGTTTTTCAGTTGTGTATGACTTTGTGGGCCCATTTGGGGTTTTCTTGGCAAAGAAAGTTTGCCATTTCCTTCTCCAGCTCATTTTATAGATGAAGAACTGAGGCAGGCCGGGTTAAATGACTTGCCCAGGGTCACATAGCTAGTAAGTATCAGAGGCCAGATTTGAACCCATGGAGATGAATGTCCCTGATTCCAAGCCCAGTGCTCTGTCCACTGCGCCACTGAGCTGCACTACATTCACACATAGCAGGTGGGATATGGATGATAATCTACCAGAAGTACATGAGAAGGAGCAGGTATCCAGGGGGATATGTATAATTGAAGTTTGGGAAAGGCTCACTCCCTGCCCTCAAAGAGTTTACAGTCTTCTGCTGGAATAGAATTTGTTCATAGGTAAGTAAATTGAAGCTATATATCAAATAAATTAATAGTGATGGGAGAAGTGAGGCATGTGTCTCTTGAAGGAGATGCCTTGAGGTATTCAAGAGGAGAACATGAGGAGAGAGAGCATTCCTGGTATGGGAGACAGCCTGTATAAAGACCTGCAAGTGAGAGATGAAGTGTCATTGTCAGACTCTAGGAGAAACACAGTTAAACCATTTTGTCTAGAATATAGAATTAGGGGGAATAATGTGAAATCAATCTGGAAAGATCAGTTAGCACCAAATTGAGGAGGCTTTTAAATTCCCAACAGAAAAGGAATGTGTGTTACATCCTTGATGCAGAAGCGCTTAAGGCAGAGGAATAATGTGGTCAGATCTATGCTTTAGGAATGCCAGTTTGACAAATGGGTGGAAGATGGGACACTGGAGAAGCTGGAGCTAGCAACACCAGGTTGGAGGCTATTTAGATATTTGGGTTGAGATGGAGTGTTAGATACAGGGGACTCTTGTGCATGCTTTTGGTAGTGCCTTGGTGATTCTTCTTTACCCTCATTCCAAAGACTGATTGATTCTCCGTCTTGCCTGCCTACCTATGAGCAATTAATATTTCTCCAGTTATTTAGGTCTGTCTTTACTGATGTAAAGAGTGTTTTTAAAAAAAATTTCATATAATTCCTGTGTATATTTTGGCAGTTAGACTGCCAAGTATAAATGGAATTTCTTTCTGGCTTTTTCCTGCTAGTTTTGTTGGTAATATACAGAAATGCTGATGGATATATGTGGATTTATTTTATATTTAGCACTTTTGCCAAAGTTATTGGTTCCGTTAATTTTTTAGTCGACTCTCTAGGATTCCCTAAATAAACTATCATATTCTCTGCAAAAAGCAATAATTCTGCATCCTGTCTGCCTATGCTTAGTCTCTCAATTTATTTTTCTTATCTTATCACTACAGCTAGCATTTCTAGCACTGTATCAGATAGTAGTGGTCATGATGGCCATCCTTGCTTTTTCCCTGATCTTATTGGAAAGATCCATTTAACCCTTTGTTTGCTAATGTTTTTTGCACAAATGAGTGAAAGTTCAAGCTTCTTAGTCTGGCCTGTGATGCCCTCCCAAATCTTCCAACAACCAAGCTCTCCAACCTTATCACCTACAACTCTTGTTACACATATACTCTGCCCAGACTGATCAATTCGTTGCAAACACTCCCTGAAAATTCCCACTTCTTTGCCTTTTAATACTGCTGCTCTCCCTATATAGCATGTCTTATCCTTTATCTTTGATTACCATCATCATATCAAAACTCATTTCTTCTGGGAAGTCTCCCCTGATAACCTCAGCCCAAAGCGTTCTCCCCCTCCTCTGATTTCTTATAGCACTTACTGTCTGTATCATATGCTGTCCTATGTAGTTAATTGTAGTTCATTATCTTCTCATTTGTAAATCCTGTCTTACCAACCTAGAGTGTGAGCTCCTTAGAGCTTGGCAGCAGGGACCAGGCTATGTCTTAGACAACTTTCTAACCTCACCATGGCTGGAGAGATTGATAAAATGCAGTGGGTCTACAGTTATCCCACCCTGAATGTCCCCATCTATATGATAAAATGGATAGCAAAGGGTCTAGGACCAGACAGGCCCTTTAAAGCAACAGATTGAAGAAGAGAACAATGCTCAGATACACTGCCTCATTTCCTTTCTGTATTATTCTGTTCTTTCCACTCCAGGATAAACAGCAGCCTTTCCAGTGATGACCTTATTCTGGAGGACTTGGAAACAGAAGGAGAGAGGCAGCTGAGGAGCCTCCTTCACCATCAGCTTGATACTTCTGTTTCTGTTGAGGAGTAAGTGTTGAATTTACAAACGATGTGGAAGAGCTGAGGTGGTCCCGGACAGACTTCTCTCTAGTTTCGTTAGCGCTGGGTAAGGTGGTGATTCCTGGGGCCTCAACCCACTGCTCTGCAGTCTCGGCCTAGAAATAGGCTGTGAGATCGAGCTGAAGTGGTTGGTCCTGCTCACATCATGATGTCTACCTAGCACCCTGGGTTTTTTTTGTGCTTTAATAAGTCATGATTCTTGTTAATTGTTTGGCAGGTGTGTTTCCAAGAAGCAGTGCTTTGCCCCTGCTGCAGTGTATAAGCCCTTTGGGGAGGAGGCAGCTGGGGCTTTGAGCTTGTCCCAGTTTCAAGCGCTACAGAAGAGTGATCAGGAAATCGCATCTCTGAGGGACTTGGGGCTTAACGATAGAGAGATTGTGCTGTGGAAGAACCGAGCTTCATCCGAGAGGGTCAGTGGGTTGTATTTTTCTAAGTTTATTTTAATTTTGAACTCAACAAACACTAAATAAATAAAACGGGAATTTCCACGTATGTAATAAAACAGAAAAAAGAGGATTATGTGTGCAACTGCCAACACCTGTTACATACAGTTTACTTTTCTAAGAGGCACATTTTTCTAGAGATTAAGGAGAGAGAGAATTTTCCATTTGACATTTAGAATCTTCACATTTTTGAGCCTTCAAGAGACACATCCTTAAGTCTGACTCTTCATGCATTTCTAGGCCAGAGACATTGGTAAGAAGGAAATAAAGGAATTCCATAGTTAGCTTGGATAAAATTCCTTCCTTCCTTCTTTGGGCAGCTAGGTGGAGCAGTGGATAGAGTGTTAGGCCTGAAGTCAGAAAGACTCATCCTGAGTTAAAATCTGGTCTCACTCACTAGTTGTGTGACTCTGGGTAAGTCACTTAACCCTATTTGCCTCAGTTTCCTCATCTGTAAAATATGGATAGGGGCAGCTAGGTGGTGCAGTGGATAGAGTGCTGGACCTGGAGTCAGGAAGACCTGAGTTCAAATCCAGCCTCAGACACTAGCTGTGTGACCCTGGGCAAGTCACTTCACCCTGTTTGCCTCAACTCCTTATCTGTAAAATGAGTTGGACAAGGAAATGGCAAACCACTCCAATATCTTTGCCAAGAAAATCCAAATAGGGTCACGAAAAGTCAGATGTGACCAAAATGACTGAACAGCAAACAAAAATTCCTTCTACTACCCCTGATATGCTACTTAATTCTTATGTATCCCATCATGACTTGCTGTCATCTTCACTGTCTGCAATCCCTTCTCTCTGGTTTTAGGGTACAGGGCTGGGAGCAGCCCCTGAAGCAACACAGGAGCGTCTTCGAGATATTGAAGAGAAGATCTCAGAGCATAAGCGCATTCTGGCCTTGCCACAGAGGTTTGCGGGGAGTAAACAACTGAGCCGGCGAGAGATGGAAATAGAAAAGGCTTTGTTTCAGGGGAATGATCGCCATTCCTTCCTGAGGGCTCTCTATTACCAAGGTATGTAGGCCCCACTGATTTTGATATGGACTTCTCCTGAGAAAATGATCAGAACGTTAGTGAGGGTCAGGGTAACAGCAGTGAAGGAAGGGGTGTGAGATGCCAGTGGTCTGATGCAGCCTATTGTGAACAAAACCTCTTTGGATTTCCATCCACAGCTCTCCTAAGAGATAGTTGTATTTCATTTCTTTGTTTTTTGGAGGCAATCAGGATTAAGTGACTTGCCAAGGTCACACAGCTAGTAAGTGGTAGTTGTATTTTGTACACATTATAAAATTAATCTTAATTGGGTTGACTAGAACATGAAAAACACAGTTGCCTGTTTGCCAGGGTACCCACCTGGCATCAGAGGTGGGAGCTGGGTTTCCAGCTATCACTTTTAACACAGACAACTCGTAGATCGCCATCTCCCAGCCCAATGTCACAGTAGCACTTTCCTATTCATCATTGTGACCATCAGCAAACTTTTATTGAGTGCCCACCACACGTAAGGCACTGTGCTGGGCTCTGGGGGCTCAAGTAATAAGACATGGCCTTGCCTTGGAGGTTCTTAGAGTCTTTTGGGGGTGATAACACCACACACAAATAAATACACATATACCCACTCACACACACGCAAACACATGTATCTCAGTACATGGTGGCATGTTAAATGTAATTGTACAGAGAATCAGTGCCCTAGGAGTTCAGAGAAATGACTGATCACTCAGGACTGAGGCGGGTGGGGAAGGATTCACACAAGAGGCAAGATTTTAGAGAGGACCCTTAAAGGAAAAGTGGGCAGCTAGGTGGCGCTGCAGTGGGTAGAGCACTGGGCCTGGAATCAGGAAGACTCATCTTCATAAGTTCAAATCTGGCCTCAGACGCTTACTAGCTCTGTGACCCTGGGCAAGTCACTGTACCCTGTTTGCCTCAGTTTCCTCATCTGTAAAATGATCTGGAAAAGGAAATGGCAAACCACTCTAGTATCTTGGTCAAGGAAGAGTCACCCATGGATGAAAAACAGCTGAACAACAATAAAGGAAAACTAGGAGTTGGAAAACCAGAAAATAACAGGAGAGCATTCCCAAGCAAGGATAATGCTGGAAGCAAAGGCCAGAGGAACCCAATGAATAGACTAGTTGAGCTGGAGTACAGGGTTTGTATCAACCAGAGATTCTTAACCCTTTGTGTATGTGTCATGGGCCAGCCTATTAATTCCTTCTCTGAATAACATTTTTAAATCCGTCAAATAAAAGGCATAGGATTATAAAGGAAATCAATTTTATCAAAATGTTTTTTTAAAAACTCAAGTTGTGTACCCCAGGGTAAGTACCCCCAGCAGAGGAATAATAGGAAATCAAGTTAGAGAGATGGGTAGGGACCCAACTGTGAAGGCAATCGAATGCCCTGTTAAAGAGATTGAATTTTAAATTTTATTTTATTGGTGTGGAGCCATTGAAGGATTGTGTGTAGGTTGAGAGGGTTATGAAGGGACAGATTCAAGGACCATTTTGAAGGCAGAAAGAACAGGACAGGAGGGTTGTCACTTTTAGGGGTGCAATTTGGTTAGAGTAGTGAGGATAGAAGCCAGATTTCAAGAGAGTAAAGAGGGAATAGAAGCCATAGGTGGAAATCCTTCCTTGGGCAGTGAAAAGAGCAATAGGCCAGTAGCAACCTGTGTAGGAGCCCAGCTGATTAATGAGGAAGGTGCACCCTAAGCTGTTCTCAGGCTTTGGGGATCCATTTTTTAAGTCTCCGTGGCCACCATGATGTGGAAGATAGAGGGTAAGTGTCAGGATCTTATTGAACAGATGAGATAAATTGAGGCAGTTAGGCAAGGAAACTAGTTTTTGACAATTCGTGTTGGGACAGAACTTGGAACCGAGCAGTGCCCTATTTCCTGATTAAGTAAAATCTGAGAGTTGGAAGGGACCATCCAGGTCTTGGCTTCTCAACCTGGGGTTCATGAACTCCCAACATGTTTGTGGATAGATTTGGGGGAGGCAGTCTGTGAACTTGGACGGGAATGAATTACATCTTTCTTTTCACTAATGTCTAACTGAAATTTCATTATTATGCAGAGGAGTTGATAGGCCTTGCCAGCCTACTATGGGGGGGGAAGGAAAGGGAATAAGCATTTATTAAGTGCCTATTATGTGCCAGGCACTGTGCTAAGCTCTTTACAGACAATATCTCATGACACCGAAGAGTTTAAGAATCCCTGATCTAGGCCAATGAACAGCTAAACAAAAATGCCTTTGTTTGAAGAGCTCCCATGAGGAGGCGCCCATTACTCTCTGGGATAGCTCAAAGGCGGTTTTTCCTTGTCAAGCCTCAGTTTGCCTGCAATAGCCTGACAGACAAGCCAGGCAGTGCTCTGCTTTGAATTTAGAGATGGAGTAAGTGACTGCAGGATAGGAGCAAATGGCACAAAGCTTATTGTAGGGGGCAACCCAAAGGCGCTTCAGCAGTGAGAGTAGCTCACTGGAGGGTTGACCAGCCGAGGTTCACCCTGCACTGCAGATTGATGATTCCTGTTGACCTGGAGGGCCATATCAATAAAGAGCTGGGAGTGTAAGGCCCTTGTTCCATGAACAACTCAAAGGCACCCTCCCCCTACCCCATCCTGGGCAGGGATGAGCTGTGGGGGAGGGGGAAGCATCACTCGGAGCAAAGGAGCAAGCCATGGATGGCTAGGCAGTGAAATACAGTGGGAGGAGCAGTTAGTCAGACAGGAGGAGAACCAGGATAGAGCAGCTCAAGTTCAAGGATATTTGAAGGTTGTTCTACCTGCCATGTTTCATTTGATCCTCGTGACAACCTGCAAGGTAAGTACTGCAGATGGCATTGTTCCTGTTTTGCAGATGAAAAAACTGAGGCTCAGAGTCCAAACTAGCCTAGTCACAGGATACAGAGTTGGAAGAGAACTTAGAGGCCTTCTATTCCAAACCCTGCCTTTTAGAGAGGAGGAAGCTAAGGCTCAGGAATGGTAAATACCTTTGCTCATGGCCACGCATCTAGTAAGCATCAAAGGTGGGCTTTGAGCCTAGGTAGTTCTGCCTCCCAAGGCCAGCACTCTTTCTGCTACATACCGCTACTGCTTACAGCATTCAAAACTGCTGAGAAATCCAGGAGGAAAAGGACTGAGACAGGGCCCTTGGATTTAGCAGCTAAGGACTATTGGCCATTTTAGACATTCAGCTCAGTGGTGGAGTCAGAAGCCAGATGGCAAGGGATTCGCAAATGGGTGGTGAGGAAGTGAGGGGAGAAAGTTGTTTGCAAGAGTTTGGTTGTGGGGGCAGCTAGGTGGTGCAGTGGGTAGAGCATTGGCCCTGGATTCAGGAGGACCTGAGTTCAAATCCAGCCTGAGACATATAACACTTACTAGCTGTTAACCCCATTGCCTAGCCAAAAAAAAAAAAAGTTTGGTTGTGAAAGGGGAGAGAGGACAGTAGCTTGAAGGGTTGGCAGGGTCAGCTGAAGGAATTTTATACCCGCCATGTTTGTAGCTTACAACTAGGGAGAGCTTACAGTTGAAGGAGAGAGGGAATGAATGATGGGCCAGGCTTCTGGAAGAGATAGGAGGGGATGTGCTTGAGGGCACGTTTAAAACAGTTGGCTTTGGCAAGGAGAAAGGCCACTTCTTTTGAGACTAAAGAGAGGATGGGTTGAAGATATGGAGGGGGTTTTGATGTGTTGAGTAGGGAATTGAGGGAGTTCACCATTGATGACCTTTATTTTCTCAGCAAATAGGAGGTTGAGACATTTATTGAGAGTAAGGGGGCTAAGGGGAAGGTATTTGGGCCAAAGGAGGAACAGCTCCTTAAGGGAATGGGATAGAGTATCTAGGAAGAACAAGCGTTGCTGTGTGGCAGTGAAGGTCCATTTGAAATTCACTAATGTGAGTTTGTAATGGACTCAGTCAACCAGTGGGTTGACTTCAATTTCATTCAGCAGCTTAGGAGTATGAGTGAAAGAGGCAGGTGGTAGAGAGTGATCCAAGGTCAAGGACCGTCAAGGAGTGAATGGCAGTGGGATCGGGGTGTGAGAATCCAGAGTGAAGAACAGTGTGTAGCTGAATGGGTTGACCGTGAGGTGGAAACTATGAAGTGAAGATAATGAGGATGCAGCTGGGGTGACGGACTAGGAAAATGGTGAGGGATGCAGTAGCTAGATGTTATGGTGAGGATGAAATAGAGGTTTAGGCAGAGGGAAAGATGGGAGAACAAGAGATTGTGATCAGAAAGAAGAATTTGAGAATTTGAAATCCTGCAGGTAGCAGAGTTGGGGGGGGGATGATGAGACGTAAGGTACTACTATCCCTTTGTTGGGGTCGAGTGAAACTGTAGGTCCTGGGAGTCGTTGAGAAGGTTGTTGAATTTGGAAGCCCACTGAGTTGATACACCCATATGTATATTGAAGGCCCCAGGGAAAGAGGGCATGGATTGGGTTGGAGAAACTATGAACTACCCAGAAAAAAGAGTGAGACTGAGCTGGAGGCTGATAGATGATAGCAGCTAGGATCTGGATGGGATACTGTCAACAGAGTGAATCTTGAAGAGAAAAAAGTAGCTGAGTTATAGTAGGGTCTGATAGTGGCAGCAGGGAGGACATCAGTGCCTTCTCCTGGCTTATTGCAGGGGGGCCATGAGCCAAGGTACAACCAGCACTGGCTGGGGGGAGGGCCAGGATGATGATGATCACACATTTCTGTAGGGCTTTAAAGTTTGCAGAGTGCCTTATCTACCTTATGTCGTTTGATCCTCACAACAATCCTTGGGAGTATGCCCATTTTGCTGATGAGAAAATGGAGGCACATAGAGTTTAAGTGACTTTCCTCAGGTTACACAGCTAGTTAGTGTTAAAGGCAGGATTTGAACCCAGGTCTTCTTGACTTTCAGTTGATTATTCCTTGCAGTGTCTTCTGGAGAGTTGCCATGAATGCAAGATGGATAAAGTGTGAAAAGGAGAGATCAAGGTGGAGGGTCATTTATTATGATCCAAGTGTGGTTTCCAGAGGGATTGGAGAATTATGGCATCTTGCTGGATGAAGGCAGGAATATGGGAAGAGGTAGCTTAGGAAGGTTTTTGTGGTGGTTTTTTCCTCTCAGGAGACAGTCATTATGAATCACTGGGATTAGGGGATCAGGAGTAACAAATTTACTAGTCATTATACTGTGGAAATACCAATTGATTTATGTCTTTACTTTCCAGAGCCTTGTGAGGATGGAAGGCAGTGTTGGTACATGTGCTCTCTTTATAGACTCTCTATATAGCTGGAGAGCTAGGGCAGGAACATTTGGGTCCTTAGAGACTGGCCTGAAATCACATGTGACATCAGCTCATCAGTTATATTCCAAGATGGCAGGAGATAAGACATACCTAGACAATGTATCCACCGTGGACTGACCATTCCTTGCCTGTGATAATTTTGACATTTAGTCTGATGTCTATGGTACAGATCAATCAATAAACATTTATTAAGCACCTACTATGTGTCAGGCACTGTGCTAAGGGCTAGGGATACAAGACGAGGCAAAAGACAGTCCCTGCCCTCAAAGAGTTTATAATCTAGTGGGGAAGACTACACGGAAACAACTCATATGAAACAAGCTCTATACAGGATAAATAGGAGATAATTAATAGAAGGAAGGCACTGGAATGAAGAGGGGTTGGGGAAAGCTCCCTGTAGAAGGTGGGGTTTTAGTTGGGACTTAAAGGAAGCGGAGGGGGGGGGGAGGTCAGATCAGAGGAGGGAGAGCATTCCAGGCATAGGGGACAGCCAAAGAAAATGCCTGGAGCCGACAGATGGAGTGCCATATTGGTGGAACAGCCAGGTTAGCCGTAGGTCTTTGCCTGAATTTCAGTCTTGATGACTCCAGGCCTGACGCCTGAGATCCCAGGTGGGACAGTTTTAGCCTAGTAAGTTGCTGGTCCTTATTTTCCTTTTGTCTGTAAGCTTTTTGCCAAAACACAAAGAATATTTTAAAGTTATATTTTACTGGACTCGGAGGGAGAAAACTTGGGTTCAGATCTTGGCTTTGCCCGCTACTTGGACTAAGTTTTAACTAAATTTAACTTAAAAAAAATTAAATTTAACCTCTCTGAGCCTCGATTTCTTCATCTACAAAATGGGGATGATGAAACAGCTGTATTACAAAACTCATAAGGTTATTGGAGAAATCAAATGAGATACTATAAGTAAAGTGCTTTGTGCCCCCAAAGTACTCTGTGTATGTAAACCATTATTGTTTTTTGAGAAAATAGTCACTTTTCCTTTAAATATTTCTTCAATACTTGAATGACTCCATGATCTAATTAAGGTAGGTACTTCTTCCACTGGTCTAGATTACAGCACATCTACACTTTCTCATCTCAAGCAATTCCCACCCATGTCCTCCTGACATAGAGTAGATACTCGTGTAGCCATTTGGCGGGCCAAGCTTTTGCTCCATGCCAGCCCACCTCCTTTTTGGGTCATCCGTTCATTGCTTTGGTTGGATCTTTTATGCTACTCTCCAACACGGTTCATTGTTCATAATATTCCTTTAAAGCATGTGCCTTCCAAATATTTTAAATTAGAATTCAATGAAAATTTCTTGAAATGTTTTTAATTTTAACTGCATTGCTAAATGCTAATTGCTGCTATTATCTTGGGGCCAACATTTTTTCTTGAGGAACATACTTCCAATTATATAATCTCAAATAAGTGGAAAAATAGGATTTGCACACATATATCTCTTGACCTAAATCTATTCTAGCCAAATCATCTATAAAGTAAATATATACATATGTATTGCCAGATGAGAAGATATATGGAAAAAGTGCTTCACCAACCTTAAAGCAATATATAAATGTTAGTTGTTATTATTACACATATGCGTTTAACTATGCACATGCACGTGGGAGGAGAAGGGAGGGTGTGTCCCAAAAGTCTTAATGCAGTTTTAAGCTATCAGAATTTACAACTGCATTAAGACTTTTGGGACATCCCATATCTATCCTTAATTTCCCACTGACTTCCATTTTGAAAAGGATGGTGGGATGGCATGTGCCATTTGGAAATGAAAGTCGGCGGGCAAAAGATGGTGTTCTGCCATATCTAAGAGGCTGCCATATGGAAAACAGTCCATTGCCTGGGGCCAGGAAGTCCTCTGCCCAGCCACCTGGCTCCAGTACCTGGGATAAGAAAGATCTCCCCTGCTTTGGGTAACTCCCAAAGGAAATAGTCTTGTTGCCTGACATTTTCTGAAAGGTTGACTCTTTAGGCCCTTTTAGGCTGAGTTTATTTTCAGTTCCGTAATCTGAAATCTCACCATATGGAAAGACCCATAAATAATTTTGCTTTATACCTAACGCAGCTGTTTTGTATAGCAGAGATATTGGTATAACCAAATACGTTTTCAAAATGATGCACATAACAATTTTCTTAATTGTCTGCTAGTGCCAGTTATGACAGGCTTTGAAGAGCTGCCCCTCAGCAGAACATCTCCTGAGACTCAGGGCCTGGGCTCATTGGTTGACTTTTGTCTTGGGCTGTAATGGATTTTGAATAACTTTTCTTCCTCTTTGCCTTGATTCAGGTGAATCCCATAAAAGACTAGAGGCTGAGAAGGACCCCATTAATAATCTGGAGACTGTTTACCAAGAAATGCTGGCCAAACCACACCCTGAAGAGGCTCAGCTTATGAGAGGTGAACCCTTTGCTTCCCCCTCACTGGACCCAGATGCATTAGTGGACACTAGTGTCACAGCTAAGAACCTGTCAGTACTTCAGGATCAGGGAAACCAGGCAGCACAGGCTGAGGGGCCTAGCCTTCATGTGGTGAAAGCTATTGAATCTGAGTCCCAGCAATGTCTTATGGGGCCCAAGAAGGTGACAGAACTAGTGGAGTTTGTCCCAGAAGATGAGATCCTGAGAAATCGTCTGTCAGAGGAGGACATCCGCAAAATTCCTATGTTTGCTTCATACAGTCCTGGAGAGCCGAACAAGGTATAGGCCAAAGCAAGCATGGCACACATAGGCTGCTTTCCTTTTTTCTCTACTGAAACAGGACTGTAGATTAGGCCTTGTAATGGGAAGGCAGAGTCATGAGATCATCATGGCAACTGGGTTTGCACTTCAGCTTGAGGAGTCAAAGACTCATCTATCTAAGAGGGCTCTAGCCTCCTGGCCAGGACCTCCTGGTCCTGGATGAATTCCCCCCTTGCGCATCCCCATGAATAGCCTTTGCAGACCGGCTGGCTGCCTTAGGCTGCCTGGTTCACCATTCATTCTTGCTCCTCACTCGGCCACCCTTGGCATTCTCAAGCCTAACCCTCTTGATGAGAATCACCATCTTACTCTGCCTTAGAAGCCCTGAGCTTAGGAAATAATAATGGCCAGTCTCCTGGGACAAGGGCAGCCACATGATAGGCAGTTAGCTTTAAAGTGCCAGGTGAATGAGTTACTTTGACTAGAAACCATCCCATCTAGTGGCCATTGGGATGGTTGTGGACATAGTCAATATTAACAGAGCCATGTGCTGCTCAGCTGCTTGGCTACTGGCTGGTGCTGCCCAATGGCCCTTATCTCTTCAGTGTGGCCTTAATGAAGCTTCCTGAGGAGAGTGAAGGATTGCTTCTTTAGGCAGCTTTGTTACTATCCAAGGTGGCTGATAACTTAGGCTGCTAGTAGTACCTGATAACGAGGCCATCAGCCAGTCAACCACCAAGCATTTATTAGAGCCTTCGATGTTCCAGGCACCTCACTAGGTGCTGGGGATGCAGAGACAAAAGCGAATGATCTCCTGCCCCCAAGGAGTTTACTCTTTATTAGAGGAAACAGCATGTGCACACATGAGTCCACACAAAATAAACGCAAGGTAGTTGGGGAGTGGGGAGGCATTAGTGCCTGGGCGGGGGGGGGGGGGCGGGGGGGAGGATCAGGGAAGACCTCGTGTAAGAGATGCTGTTTGAATTGTGCTTTGGAGGACAAAAGATTCCGAGAGGCCAAGTTGAGGATACTGTTACTAATCCATATTTATATTGGGCTTTAAGGTATATGCAATATCATAGATTTTCTTCACAGTAACCCTGTGAGGTGAAGGTAATACAAGTGTTATTTCCATTTTACAGATGAGGAAACTGAGGTTCACAGAATCACAGAATTTCAGAGTTGAAAGACACCTTAGATATGCCAGCCTGTACCTAAAAAGTGGTGTCTTTATCATGTCCAATAGGTGGTCATCTAGGCCTTGCTTAATTAAAGACATCCAGTGGGGGAAGGATTTCACTGCTTCGTAAGACAGCTCAGTCTACCTTTGGATAGCTCTTATCATTTAGAAATCTTTCCTAACGTTGGATCTAAATTTGTCCTTTTGCAACTTTTCCCCTTCATTCCTCATTCTGTCCTCTGGGGCCAAGCAGAATAAGGCTAATCCCTTTTCTGTCTGACAGGTCTTCAGATACTTAAAGCCATCATGGTCTTCCTAAGTCATCTGTTCTTCAGGATAAACATTCCCATTCAAATGATGTGAATTCATGGCCCTTTACTGTCCTGGTTGCTCTCCTCTGGATGCATTCCAGCTCATCGGTCAGTGTCCTTCCTAAAATGTGGTGCCCTCCAGATGTGGTCTGGGACAGAGCAGAGTACTCTAAGACTATCGCCTCCTTATTCCTGGCAGTTGTATGTCTCTTTGTTCAGCTTAAGGTTAAGGTAGCCTTTTGACCACCATATCACATAATTGTCTCTTTTTAAAGAGACCTGCTTTCTAGCCAGGTCTCCCTCATTTAGTACTTGTGAAGTTGATCTTTTGAACCCATGTAAGTATAAGACTTTTCATTTCTCCCTCTTAAATGTCTTCTATTGGCTCCCTGTTTGTTCTAGCTTTCCATACCTTGTTGGATCCTGAGTGTCACCTGGTGTTTGCTAGCCCTTCTAGCTTGGTGTCATCTGCACATTTGATAAGCATGCCATTTAGGCCTTTATCCATGGCATGGTTAAAAGGCACAAGGCCAACCACAGATTTCTGGGGCACTCCCTTAGAGATCTCTCTGAAAGTTAACATTAAACAAACATGAATGAGTAGAGAGAGCACTCTTTGGGTCCTGCCAATTCAACCAATTCCATGTCCATTTCATTGTATTATCATCTAGTCTCCATCTCTGCCAATGGTACGGTTTTGCATTAATAGCATATGACCTAAGTAGAATGGAAAGCTCTCACTGAGCCCGTCACCCCCAAATGTGCCTCAAGCCCCTAGAGCATGTGCTTTTTGGGGTCTAATTTCATAAATATGGACAACTCAGTGATTCTGGCAATCCTTGGGTATTCTAGGAGGAGCATTGGACATGAGGCGTATTAACACAACATCTTTTCAGTGACTTATTTCTAAAATATTTTTGCCGTTAATTCTTGCTTATGACTTGAAGGCTTTGTTTGGGACAGATCAAAGAAGTAAATCTCAATGTGGACCTTTCCTAGAGGGTAAGAACATTGGTCCAGCTTTATTCACTCCTCTTTCCTAAAAAAACAAAAACAAAAAAAAAAAACCCCAAGAGAATTATTTTAACTTAATGATGTTTCACACTGAGTACTTGAAAGCTCGTTCCCCTCCAGAAATGACTTTAGTTAATTCACAGGATTACATTTTTCCTTTAAGAGATGACCACACTTAAATCATTTCAGACAAGTGACTCCTGGTTTCAGCAGGGAACTAGCTGGCTTAGTGCATAGAGCGCTTGACCTTGGGAGTGAGGAAGGCCTGAGTTTGAATCCTGCCTTGGACACTTACTGTGTGATCTTGGGCCAGTCACTTAACCTCTCAGTTTCCTTATCTTTAAAATGGGGGTAGCAATAGCACCTACCTCACAGGGTCGTTGTGAGGATCAAATGAGGTAATGTTTGTAAAGGGCTTACTTGCTGTTGTCATTATTCTTAAAGACGTACAGATTGAGAGAGTACAACCTGCCACAGCATGAAGCAATACTTGCTTTCAGGAAGGTCTTTGTTCTGCAGCGTGTTGAATTTTTTGTTTATGTGAAAAATAGAGAGCCACCATCATCTATATGAGAATCCTTCATTATGCTGGAAATCAATTTTTTAGTTACCCCAAAGCCTTCAGTTCATTTCAGCAAACATGTACTGATTATCGACTGTGCTCAGAGCATTGTGCTAAGCTCTGGGAATGCAAAGCAAAACACATAGTTGTTTGCCCTTAAGGAACTTATTTTGTCCTTAGGGAGATAGAACATATATACAGATGAGGAAATGGCCATTAACAGAGTATCCATGGGGCGGGAGTAGGGAGCAGCTGAAGGCTTACTTTCTGTGGAAGGTGGAGGGTGGCGCCTACATTGAACCTCGAAAGGGATGGAGGGATCCTAAGAAGCAGAGATGAGGAAGGAGTGTATTCCCTGTGCAAAGGTATGAATTAAGTTCAATTCAATAAGCATTTTTTTGCGGGGGGGGCGGCTAGGCAATAGGGTTAAGTGACTTGCCCAGGGTCACATAGCTAGTAAGTGTCAAGTGTCTGAGGTCAGATTTGAACTCAGGTCCTCCTGACTCCAAGGCTGGGACTCTATCCACTGCACCACCTAGCTGCCCCACAATAAGCATTTCTTAATTGCCTACATTGTGTCAGGCTCCATGCCAAGCACTGGGAATGCAAAGACAAAAATGAAATGCTCCCTGCCCTCTGAGAGCTTACAGTTTATTGGGTGACAACAATACATACCTAGATGAGCAAATACAAAATATCTAGAGTGATTTGGGGGAGGTTGGGGAGAGCATTAACAAGCAAAGGTTGAAGGACAGGTCTCATGCAGAAAGTGGTACTTGAGCTGAGTTTCCCATACAAAGGAAGAGAGTATGCCAGGCATGAGGGACATTTATGGGCACTAGGAATAATGTGGAATCAGTGTAGAAATATGGGGCAGAGCTAGGTTGTTAAGGGCATTTTAAATGCTCCAGTGAAGAACTTGTATTTTATCCTACAGGCAAAAGGAAGAAGCCATTCTTGGTGAGGGGAGTGACCTGGTCAGGCATGTACTTTAGATACTTTTAGGTACTTTAGAGTAGCATCTTACACAGGCTACAGTTTTCAAGGCCATGTGTATAGAGCAAAAACTCTGGTCCGAATAATGTTTTAAAGTCCCCTAAGTCATCCATAAAGTACAATAGAGGATCTTTACATAGTTGGAGCTGCAAAAGGGCTAGGTTGGTCGGTCTCTCACTCTCTCTCTCTCTCTCTCTTTGCTTTTTGGTGAGGCAGTCGGGGTTAAGTGACTTGCCCAGGGTCACACAGCTAGTAAGTGTCAAGTGTCTGAGGCCAGATTTGAGCTCAGGTGCCCCTGACTCCAAGGCCGGGGCTGTATCCACTGCATTATCTAGTTGCCCCCCAGGTCTGTTTCTTCAAAGGCAATCTGTATCAGTGTGTGGTTACCCTGAAAAGGCTTTATCATGGGTTGGAATTTTCCCTGCATCCAGCTAATCTGGTGATGAGGAGTATAGCAATAACTCAAATAGAAGAAAACAAAAACAGGTAAAGACTTAGCTTGTAGGAAAAGTAAGGATTAGGGAACAATGCTCTTAAAAACACTTTGTGTAAGTGTGATTATATTAAATCACACGACCCTGATTCTGTGTCTTCCTGTAGTAAGAGAGGACACATTGAAGTTAAAGAAGGCACAGCAGGGGCCTTCTAGTTCACCAGGGAGGCTGAGGGGGGCTGTCCCCTTCATCCTCACCAGCCTATGCAGAATGAAGAGCCTGTGGGGCTGATGAGGAGACTCTAGAGTTGTTCTTGTGCTCCTCACAGCAACTGAGGCCAATGGGAGAAAGAGCAGATTCCTATCTCTCATCTCATGCTCGCTGCAAAGGAAGTAGAGGTGGGGGTAGTGGTGAAGAATAGCCTCATCAAATGGAATAAGGAAAGGAATTGCTTGTGTTATTTAATTGATTTTTTTTTTCCTTTTGATTTTGCCGAAGTTAGATGTGTATATGTTGAGACTCCCCTTAATAAAAGGATTTGTTCTGTGAAGTTTGGATTCAGAGGGCTGCACTTGAGGACCTAGCAGGCCACATGTGGCCTTGAGGTGGCAGGTTCCAGTGAAAAATAAGGAAGTTTGGAAGAGGGAGAGGTGGCTTTAGAGGAGAAAGATAATGAAATTTGTTTGGGACACGTTAAGTTTGATCTGCCTTTGGGATAGATAGCCAGTTGGGGATATCAGGCAAGCGGTGATGATATGGGTCTGGAACTCAGAAGAGAGATGGCATTCTGGATGTGTAGGTTTCGATGTTGTAGACCCTTAGCCCCTCCATTAGACTATGAGCTCTTCGAGGGCAGATTCTGTTTTTGCCATTTTTTAAAAAAAATCCCCATAGCTTAACACAGTGTCTGACACATAGTAAGTGCGTGCTTAATAAATGCTTATTGACTTAGCTTGGGAGTCATCTGCATAGAGGTGATAATTAAACTCCATGGGAGCTGATGTATATGGTCACCAAGAGAGAAGAGAAGAGAACAAAGAATAGGACCAAACCCTGGGCTATGCTAGGATTAGGGATTGGGAATTCTATGAAGATCAAAAGAATTAGATAAGGTAGGAGGAGAAATAGGAGAGAGCAGTGTCATGAAAACTGAGAGAAGACAGGAAGGAGATGGCAAGTCGTTTTGGGAGAAGTTAGCAGGCTAGTTTGGCAGGAAATGTAGTTTAAGCCTGTAATTGTTGGTAGGAGCCAGACTGGGAAGGGCTTTAAAATGGCAGCTTATATTTTATGCTAGGGGTAATAATGAACAACCAAAGATGTTAGAGCAGAGGAATGGGATGGATAGACCTGTGACTTAGAAATAGAAATTTCCAGAGGGGTGAATACTTTGTAGAGGGGAGAAACTGGAGGCAGAGACACCAATAAGGAGGCTTTGCAATTGTCCAGGTGAGGACTGATAAGGGCATGTGCCAGAGTAGTGATTGTGGAAGTGAAGAAAAGAGAGAAGACCTGAGAGATGTTGTAAAGGAAGAATCAGCAAGACTTGGCAACTGGTCAGGATCCAAGGTAGTGAGCCTGGATGCCCTCAACTAAAATGAGAGAAATTGGAGGAGGAATGAGCTTAGGGGAGACATCTGAATTCCATTTTGAACTTGTTAAGTTTGAAATATCCATTAGACATCCAGGTAGAGATGTCTAACAGGCAAGTGGTAATGATGGGAGTTCAGGAGAGAGGTAAGGGATGGATATATAGATTTGGTAGTCCTCTGCATAGAGATAGTACTTGAACCCATGGGAGTTGATGAGATGACCCAGAGAGGAGAGAGGAGGATACAGGGGACAGAGCTAAAGTATATAGCCATGCTTAAGGGGACAGGCTATAAATGACGATCCAGTAAAGGGGCAGCTAGGTGTCCCAGTGGATAGAGTACCAGGCCTGGAGTCAGGAATACTAATCTTTATGAGTTCAAATCTGGCCTCAGACATCATTAGCTATGTGACTCTGGACAAGTCATTTTACCCTTTTGCCTCAGTTTCCTCATCTGTAAAATGGGCTGGAGAAGGAAATGGCAAACCACTCTAGTATCTCTGCCAAAAAAAACCCAGATGGAGTTACAAAGAGTCAGAAACAACTGAAAAACGACTCAACAAGAAAAGGAATAGTCAAGACAGGAAGAGAGTATCCAGAAAGAAGATGTGAGAGTCAGAAACTACAGAGAGTTACAATGATGACCAAGAAATGGCCATTTGATTTTGAAGTTGAGATCTTTGGTAACCTTGGACAGGGCAGTTTCAATAGAATGATGGGGTCAGAAGCCCAGTTCCAAGGATTTTAGAAGTGAATAGGTGTTGAGGAAGTGAGGTCATAGGTGATTATCATAGATAGTCATAGATGCTTAATCATTTCCAGGAGTTTGTCTGTGGAAGGGAAAAGAAATGCAGGACAGTTTTAAGGGAATGACATGATCTCTAAGGATCAAGGAGACCTGTAGGCCACAGAGGAGAATCTGGAGATGAAAGAGGGAACGGTCAAGGAGGCATCTCTAGTAGATGGGAGGGAATGAGCTCAAGAATGCAAGTAAGAGGGGGTAAGCTTGCTAAGGAGAAGGGGCCACCTCTTCCTTCAAGACTAAAGCAAAGGAAGAGGAAATGAGGGATTTCCGTGGTGTGGAAAAGGAAAGAGGAGGTGCTTTAGGCTGCAATGCTTCTTAAACTGTGGGTCAAGACCCCATAGGGGGTCGCAACCCACAGTTTAAGAAGCTCTGAAGGGGTGGAGAGTGGGAAAAGTTTAAGAAGCCCTGCTTTAGGGTTCTTGAGGAGATTAGAAACAATCATTCCATAGGTTGGGCCAAATAAGTGGACTGTAGCACAGCTGTGAGGGTCCAGTTGAGATCAGATAACATATGTTTGTAATGGCCTCAGTCGGCATGGTTAAATGACAACTTTTCTTTTTCTTTATAGCTGTCTTATTGCTCTTTTATTAACATCTTTTAAAAATATCACTTCCCAGCAGAACCATCTCTTGTAACTCAAGTACAGTCAAGCAAACAAATCAGCTCATTGGTCATGTCTGGAAATGTATGCCTGTAGTTCACCACCTCTGTCAAGCAAGACATGGGAGGCATACTTCACCATCAGCTCTCCCTTTACGACCTGTCATGTTATGTGACTCTCTCCAGCTACCCCCCAAGTAAGAATGGAGAAGGAACGGTCTCGGTTTCCCAGCCTTTTTGTAGCTGCTGCTCCCTTTTCTATAAGGCTCTGCCCATCAAGTTGAGCCTAGAACACTAGGAAAAGTCTGGCTAGTGCTAACTATAATGAATAAGTTACCTTGTACTTCCTTCATGTAATATTCCTATTGAACCTGAATTTGATTTAGGTACTGTATTTGAAGAACCTCAGTCCTCGGGTGACTGAGAAGGAACTTGTCTCCTTGTTTGCCCGGTTCCAGGAGAAAAAAGGACCCCCGATTCAATTCCGAGTGTTGACTGGCCGCATGAAGGGCCAGGCCTTCATCACCTTCCCCAGTAAGTAGCTTCACTAAGTTATCACTAAGATAACCACTAAATTATAGCATTTTTTTTGTTACCAAAAGCTACCTCCCACCTCTTCTAAGGCAGAAGAACAATTTACTTGGAAAACCAATAGACTTTACGAGGACAAAACTCATATTAAACAGATCTTACAAATATTTACATTTGAATACTTGAATTTCCACATATAAAATGGCCACAACCACTACCCAGTTATATCCTCTCTTAAGTCTCCTGTACCTTCCCTTTCTGGCCATTCATTCCCACATTGCCATTTAGATTTTCCCTCTGATGTAGTTGGCCCATGCCTGCGCATCTTCTTTTGCTCCATTTACCTCCTAGCTCTCCCCAGATCTCTTTGAACAGTTTATGCAGCTATTCCCCCACTGTTCAACATTTTGATTAATCCCAATTTTTGGCAGCAACAATGCTGTTATTAAAAAAAAATCTTTGAACATACAGTTTTTTAAAACAAGAAAATTCAGTCCAGGTATATTTTCGATATGGGTAAAAGGGTATGATTATTTTAGTAATTTTTGCAATTCACTGCTAGATTGCTCTCCCAAAAGATCTCACCATTCTACAAAACCACCAGCTAGACATGAGTGTATTTTGTTTCTCCATGTCCCTGCCAGCACTGACTTACATGGCTTCTTTTGAACTTTTTGCCGTTTTGATGAGTATGAAGTGATGCCTCAAAGTTCTTTTAACTTTCAAGTGATCTTTTTCAAAAATAATTTTGTTTCCCCTAATTATAAATTGTTTGTATTTATTCTTTGTTTTTCTTTTCTTTTTCAACTTATTATTTTTAATGTTCATTTAAAAATTATTTTTGATTTCTTAATTCCCTCCCTTCAGCCTCTCCCCCACTCATTGAGAAGGCAAACAGTATGATATCAATTATACATGTGAATCAGTTCATAGTCTTTGAATAGTCATTCACTGGGGATTAGTTTTTTGTTCTGGGTTATTTTTATCAGGTCTTAGTAAATTTTAGAGGTTTACTTTGTCGTCCTGGGCAAGTCACTTAATCTCTTGATGCCCCAGGCAAGTCTTAGATTTGTTTATCATAGAGCAGGTGCTGACTTGCATGGGTAGAGGGACTTTCCTCACCTGGAAGTTCCCTATACCTAATGAAATCACAGGTCCAATAGTACCTATCCCCCCCCTATATTTGCCATATTTTCTTTTGCTTTGTAGAAATGTTTTACAGTCAGTTGCATCTACCTTGTTCTAAATAATTTCCTCTATTCAGTTAGTAGATAAAAACATACTTCTCCATCACAATTAAGGTTAATATATTACTCATTTTTCTTCCATCTTTTCATAGTTTTAAGTGGCTGTAATTCAGTGTTGTAGAGTGTGAGGTGTGGATATAATTTTGTTATTTTCCACATTGCCCTTCTTGTTTTTGTACATCACTGTCACTTGTAATAAAATAGCTCATATGTTGACTGACAATATATGCAGCATTCTGACCAGTCCACCCACTTCTCTAGTAGAAAAGAGAGAAATATGGTTCATCGGGAATCAAGATTGGTCATTACATTAATCTATTGATGTTGTTTTCCTTTATATTATTATGATCATTGTATATCTTGCTCTTAGTTAACATTGTCTTCACATTATATCAGTTCATATAAGTTCCTTCTAGTTTCTCTGAATTCTTCCTATACATCATTTCCAATTGTTCAATAATATTCCATTATATTTATATGTCACAATTTGTTCAGCCATTTCCCAGTTGATTGACACCCACTGTGTTTCCAGTTTTTTGCCACTACAAAAAGTACTACTATGAGTATTTTGGTATATATGAAACTTTCCCCTCTCTCTTTGTTCTCTTTCAGAAGTATATGCTAATAATGGCACTTGGGTCAAAGGGTATAAACAGTTTAATCACTTTTCTCAGATAATTCCAAACTATTTTCCAGAATAGAGATACACCCATTTCTGACCATTTTCCCTTACTACATTAAATAATGAATCTTTTCCAGAGTTCTTATTTTGTATGTGTGTATGTATATATGTGATATATATCACTAATTTTTTATACATATTTGGATTAATATCTGGAATCTGCATTCTGTCCCACTGATTTATTTTTTGCCTGTTTTGGGATGATTTTGATGATAACCACTTTATAATGTTTTGTAATCTGGATGTACAACTCTATCTTCAGCATGTATTTTTTTCCACAGTGTCCTTTGATATTGTAGCTTGCTTTTCCTTATTAATTTTGTTATTATTTTATCTAATTCTATAAAGAAAAATTTTGATACCTTCATCTTCATGGGTATTACATTAAATTTGTAAATTAATTTTGGCAGTATTGACGTTTTTACTGGTAATCCAGCCCACCTGTAAACATGGAACATCCCTCCTACTATTTAGGTCTTCCTTTGTTTTTCAGTACAGTCTTATTGCCTTTATAAAGGTCATGTGTATGTCTAGATTAGTTAATTCCCAAGCCCTTAATTTTTGTTGTAAATTGGGTTTTTTTAATGATGTTTTCTTGATTTTTTTATTTTTAGTACATAAGGATACAAATTATCTTTGTGGGTCTATCTTGTATCCAGCTGACTTGTGTAACTCATTTATTGGTTCATTTACTTTTTGTTTGGATGGTTGGTGTTTCTAGATACTGTATCACATCATTGGCAAATAACAATATTTTGATCTCTTCATTGCAACATTAATTCGCTAATATCTTTTCCTATCTTACTGCAGTTACTATACCAAATAGAAATAGTGAAAGTGAGCACTGTTGTTTTGTACCTGCTTTTAATGGAAATATTTCAAATATTTCTCAGTTACTAAAAGAAGTAGCAAGCATTATGTGCATCAGCTTCCTCTTTTTTATTTTGTTGAGGAAAATAAATTTTCTATTCCTATTTTTAATTTTTTAAAAATTGTGATCAAGTTTTGGGATGTTCTCAAAAGGCTTTTTTGGCATCTGGTGATAAGATTAGGGTTGTTGGGGTTTTTTTATAATTTTTGAATGTATTAGATCAATTCTTCAGTGGACGATCTGTGATCTCATCAATGTGATTGTACCCTGTTTTGATGCAGGTCACTAGTCACCTGCACCTTCTCGTTCTGGATGATTCTTGTCCATATTTTCCCATAACTGCACCAGAGAGGAGCCACTCTGTGGGCAGCCTTTTTCTAGATCTCTTTCTATTTTATTAGTGCCCTTGCAGCACTCCTGCTATCCATTTGGTTTTGGACCAGCCTTGATTATTTGGAATAAATCCTGCTCTGTCACAGTGCATCATTTATAATATTTTACTACATGATGTTTGCTGATGCATTAGTTAGTTTTTTGGTATCTGTACTCATTTGGGAAATTGGTCTATAATTTTTTTTTGTTTTGGTTTTCAAATCAGTACCATATTTGACTCATAGAAGGAATTGGGTAATCTTCCGTCTTTCTCTATATTTAGGAATAGTCTATGTAATAAAAGGATTATTCATTCTTTGAAGGTTCGTCTAAGAACCCTTCTGGACCAGATGCCTTTCTGCTGGGTAATTCATATTGCTTGCTTTGAGATTGGTCTTTTTAAGTTATGAATTTCCTGATATGTAAGCATTGGCAATTTATATTTTTGCAAATAATCTCCATTTCATTAAAGTTCTCTCGTTTGTTAGTAGTAATTGCACGAATTTTTGGTGATTTGTGTTTTCTCTCTCCTTTTTTAATTGTTTGCTAATGGTTTGTCAGTTTTGTTTTTGGTTTTTTGGTTTTTTTTTTGGTCTTAAAAAACAGCTCTTGGTTTTATTAATATCCATGTGATCTTGGGCAAGTCACTTAACTTCTCTTGACCTCAATTTCCTCATTTGTCAAATGAAGGGGTTAGATTAGATGACCTCCAAGATCCTTTCCAGCTCTAAATCTATGTTCTTAGCGCTTTTTAAAATTTTCCATTCTATGTATTTCTGCTGAATAGTTTATTTCTAATGTCATTTAGCTCTGGGTTCTTGATTCGTCCTCTAAGACATGAATCAACACTCATTGGTCTTTAGAAGAAGCGAACAGTAAAGTTTATTTTGACCCTTCTTTTATTTCTCTTTCTGTGCTTCCCTCCTCTTCCCTTCCCTTCTTTGGGTTATCCCACAATATATTGTGCCTCTCCTTACATATACCCCGTCACCACCATGACTTCTGTCTATCTGGCTCATTCCTCACTGCTTACAAACATTGAAGCATCACTTGAGCCTACTGGTCCCTCTGTGTCCTCTCATTCACTTTTTAACCCCTTACTATCTGGTCTGCAATCCCAACACTTAACAGAAACTCCTCTTTTAAAAGTTACCTAGTGATCTCTTAATTGCCAAATCTGATGGTCTTTTCTCAATCCTTATCCTTCTTGGCCCAGAGCTCAGCAATATTTGATACTTTTGATTACCCTGTCTTGGTAGACATACTTTGTCTTCTCTAGGTTTTTATGATGTCACTTTCATTTCATCTCCTACTTGTCTGACCATTTTTTCTCAGGCTTCTTTGCTGGATCATCATCTATAAGCCTGTATACTCTCTTCTCTCTAATTTTCTCTCTTGGTGATCTCATTGACTTCTCTGGGTTTAATTATCATCTCTATGCAGGTGACTTCCAGACCCAGCTGATCCAGCTCACCAGTTATCTATTGGACATGTTTGTCTTTTAGGCATCTTAAGCTCATTATCTTTTCCTCAAAACCCAGCCCTCTTTTGAATTTTACTATTTCTGTCAAGGGCACCACCATCCTGGTCACCCAGATGTGGAGCCTCATTGTAACCCTTGATTTCTCACTCCCATTCAACCCTGAATTCAGTCAGTTGCAAAGTGTTGCTAATTCTGCCTCCACAGTATCTCTCTCAGCTTTTCCCTTTCTCTTTGCTGGTAACTCTCTGCTCTTGCCTGCACTATTGTGTATTGTAAGAGCCTGCTAATTGATCTTCCTGCCTCAGGTCTCTACTCTCTCCATTCCATACTCCACGCAGCTGCCAAAGTGATCTTCCTGAAGTATAGGTCTGATCACATCATTCCTCTCTGCTTCGTAAGCTTCAGTGGCACTCTCACCTCTAGGATCAAATGCAAATTCTTTTGGTCAGTATTGAAAGCCTTTCACAATCTGGCTTTAATATACCTTTTCAGCCTATGCCTCTTGGAATCCCTAGTGTCCTTCCAGGCTCAACCTAAATGCTACTTCCTTCAGGAAGCCTCCTCATCTCCCTCACTGCTAGAGCCTCTCCACTCCCCCCCTCCCCATGCCCTTGTATTCATTTGGTATGTATTTAATATATATTTAGATGTGTACTACATGGTGTTTCAATAGAATGTAAGCTCCTTGATGGTAGGGACTATTATTTGTTTTGTTTTTTGTTTCAGTATCCCTAGTGCTTAGCTTAATAAGTGCTTGATGGATTGATTGCTGTGTCTTTTGTTTTGCTGATTTTGGGGGGCATAAATTGATGAAAGTCTATGGTTCTAAAGTTCAGGTTAGCTGGGGAAGAAATGAACACACAAAGAGCAAGGTATTTATGGGCGACGAGGGAATGGAAGGCAGTTAAGAAGCTAGGAATGTAATTGTGATGGTTGACGAAGTTTCCAGCTTCCAAGGTCTCTGTCATCCCTTCAAACCTTCTTTGGTTTGAGGAATACTCCTTTAGGAAATGCAGATGCATGTCGGATACATTTTTTTTTGTTTTGTTGCATTTTCTTAAGTAACCAATTTCTATACAGAATTAGTTCTGTCTTAGCTTTCTCCTTTAGTGAACCGTCCACATCTGTTTCTTCTTCTTTTGTATGCTCGAATGCATCTGTGATCTCATCGATGTGGATATTCCCTCCAACAGTACAGATTGCAACCCACCTATGCCTGCCTGTCCATGTCTTCCCAGAAGTTCATCGCAGGAGGTCCATCCACTGTGTGCTGGGAGCCTTCCTCAATTTCTCTTGACATTGCGAAGATGCTAATGGAACACAGGGGCTCATCGCTTTTCCTTTCACCACATGATGGGCCCATCTTTTCCTCTGGTGCCTTTCTTTGACTCCTTTTGTACTGACAGAAAAATCAGAGAGGACCTCAAGCTTCCAATTACGTTGAGATGCTGGCAAACTTCATTATCAGAAGGGGCCAGCTAGCCTTGAGGCCTGACATTCAACCCTAATAGAAAATCCCCCAATCCAGTTCAGTCCATGGAATCAAGTTGTCAAGCCCTTGGTAAATTCATTTTTGTTTTCTCTTTTAGATATGGAGATGGCCCAGCAGGCATTGTTGCTGGTGAATGGATACAACCTACTGGGGAAAACACTGGTGATAGAGTTTGGAAAGAACAAAACGCAGATGTCAGGGCTTCAATCAGCCTCTCCTATCCCATGTGCAACAGATAGCATGACAGAACGGGATGGGAGCTAAAAGAGAAATGGACCAGGCCCCTTACGTGTTCTCGCTTGTATTTGCAACTCACTTCTAGGGTCTGTATATAAAGAACCATCTCATAGGAGAGAGTGATTAGTAAGCACCTAAGACAGTCCTTTTCAAGTGTTCATTATGGGTAACTTTTGGAAACATTTCCCTCAATGAGAGACCATATGGGATAGAGGAGATACTGAGAATAAAGATTGCCTTCCCTCTCCCCCCTCCCTAGGGTAAGATAGAATTCTTATCAAGTTGTCTCCGTTTGGTCTTCCTGTATTTCCCGCTACCTTACAGAGGCTGACAAAACTTCCTAGCCCGTCTCCTATTAACCACAAGGCAAGGACATCAGTCTCACTACACCCAACCTCCTCTAATCCTTCCCCCTTCCCCCCAACCAGTCATCTAGGATTGCAGGAGAGTAGCCAGCGTATTTAATTTGTATATCTTGTCTTCCCAGCTAAACCATATGCTCCTGGAGGGCAGGGGCCTTGTCTTCTGTTTCTTTGTCTTTCCCCTTTAGTGTCTAGCACAGTGCCCTGTACATAGTAGATGGGTAATAAACATTTGTGGGTGATTGAATTGATTCCATAAAACATAAGAGGCCATTAGAGCGACACCCTGGAAACCTTTTCCCTTTGCAGGCCTATGCTTTTTGGGACCCTGTTCCCCAAAAGTTTCTTTCTCCTTCAGCTTTGCCCCGTGGCCTGGCTTCCTCTATAAGTTTGCCAAGCCTGCTTGCAGGGAACTGACTGGAGGTACAGATAGCTGGGGGCAGACTTTCAACTTCTTTGATATTCTGCTGGCCTAGACACAGCTCTGCCAGCTGCTGTCTGTCTGTCCTTCCAGACTAGAATAACTCCTTAACATAGGGCAGGCCTTCTTCCAGTCTGCATTCAGACAGGTTGCCTCATTTGTTCCCAGCAAACCTTTGCTTATGATACATTCCACATCAGGGCCCGGACTAGCAGTTCTGGTGTCCATGGTCAGATTGGATCCCTTAGTCCCTTGGCCAGGCCAAGATCAGCTCTCCTCAAAGCAAAAGCAGATTCCAAACCAGCCCTTGGGGACTAAGGGAAGGGCAAGAGTAGTGTTGGTGACCATGGCCAGTCCAGAGAGCTCTAGCAGAACAAGCAGCAGATGGTCCTGCCCTGAGTCTTGCAGTTAGCTTATTGTGGGACCTGTCTTTCCCTGAGATATCCCACTTGCTCTGTCCTCCCTCTAGAACACTTGTCCACCTAGGTGAACTAGCTATTCTTCCAGGACCAAACAGTCCCCGGTGCCCCAACATATCCCGCTCCCCCCCAGACAACCCTAATCCAAGGATCTCTTCCTCTCTCAGTGTCCTGGGAACAGGTAATCAGGAGCCAAAATGCAAAGCCCCCTGGGGAAGGTGGGAAAAGGAAATTTGTGGCCAAGAGAATGTGGGAAACAAAGTTTTCACTGATGATGGGCACAGATGAGACTCATCAAACCATGGCTGTATGTGTACCATATTGTGATGTACCAACGCAACTGTACTGTGGCATGGGCAGATACCTGTTTGTGTATTAGGCTTGGTACATTATGTGAATGTGTGTCCATGAGTGTTTGTATATCTGTGGAGAGGTGTTAGGGGGTGTGTATTTTGTTTCGTTCCCCAACTGGGATGCAAGGGCCCCTGTTTGCTTTTCTCCTGGAAGCATCTGTAATTTAGCAGGTGCTGTTCCGTGTTCAGGGGGACCCTTCCTGGAGGGGTGCTTTCTCGTGTTTCCCCATTTTTTCTGTTCAAAGAGCAGCCCTTAGCTAGTTACTCCTCTCTTCCCTCTTCCACTGTCTCAGCAATGTCCTGTGTGTCACAGATATTAGAACATATTAGAGAAATAGGGTTATGTAGAGAAACAGTTTGCTTGAAACTCAGTTACAACACGGATATGGTTTAAATGATCACTAGCTAGGTCCAACAATCAGAAGGACCCCATCACAGCGAGCAAGAGACTGTTCTTACGTTTGTGTTGGGTTTCTGTTCTCTGACAGACTTAAGGAGATGTGACTAGGCAGTGGTTCATGTGAAAAAGATCTTGGACGGGTGACCGATGGTGACTTCAGAGGCCTGACACGGAAGCACACCTCCAACCTCTCTGCAGGGAGGTGGTGGCCTCCAGGTGTGGAATGAGGCATACACTTGCAGACGTGGCCAATATGTTGATTTGTTTTTCTTGACTGTACTTATTTGTTACAAGGGAAGGTTCCATTGGGGGGGCGTGGGTGGGGGGAGTTATTGAGAAGTGACGATGATGTTAAAAAAATAAAATAAAGAGCTTCAATAAAGCATTTAAAAAGGAAAAAAAAAACCTGATCTTGATGTTTTAGTGAGCCACAAGCTCAGCGTGAGCTGTGTGTGACATGGCCACCCAAAATGTGACTATTATCTTGGGCTCCTTTGAGGGAGATGAATGGGAGGGAAATGAACAGCCTTTTGTACTGTGCCCCAGTGAGACCATATCCAAAGCATCGTGTCCGGTTTCGGGTGCCCCCCTTCAAGAAGGACAGGGGCAAAATGGAGGGAGGCCAGTAGACAGCCAAGACTGAGAACACTCAGGCCATGTTGTACAAGGCTGAACTGAAGAAAGAAAGTGGGGATGTCGGCTTTGGAGAAGATAAGTCTTAGGAGGGAGGGGTATGATAGCTGTGTGTTTGAAGGAAGAGAGAGCGGAGTCTCCTCTTCCTTGAGCCCAGACAGCAGGGCTGGGATGGACAGATGGATGGATAGACAGATAGACGGAAGCAGCAGAAAAGCAGATTTCAGCTTACCATAATAAGGGAAGTGGAGTGAGATTAAAAGATTAGTTAAAAACCACCACTTTAAAAACCTCTTGAGTGTATGTCATCAGGGATGACTTAGAAGTATCATGTTGTAGCGGCTGGAGACCTAGCCTCCTGGCTTCAAACCCTGCATCTGACACTGGATGAATCCAGTTAAGTCACTTAAGAGGGCTTCTTGACCTGGGGTCTGTGAACTTGTTGAATATTTTGATGACTATATTTCAATGTAGTTGGGGTCCTTTGTGATCCTAGGTATTTTATGCATTTGCAAACATGATTCCGAGGAGTCCATGACACAGAAGAAGGTCAAGAACCCCAGTTCCTGGGCTGTAAGTTGCCAAGAAGGTGTTGGGCCTGCCTGCACTTGATAAAGTTTCCTTGTGCGGAAGTTCCCTATGCTAATGAAATCCCTGGTGTAGTCTCTACCGCTAGAAGAACGGACTTCCTCCTAGCTATCCTAAGAGACAAAGAGCTGTGGAATAATGGAGTGAATATCTCCATACAGTACTAGTGGCCCTCACGCAGGGGCCAGGCCAGCGGGAGGCTGGGATGCTGAAGAGAGGATTCCCGATTCAGGAGATGCTTGAACTAGGTAGTATTTGAGATCCCTTCCATGCATGGGGCCCAGAGTTTAGGTGACTTTCCAAATACCATGCAAATTAGTTAGGAGCAGAGGTAGAATTACAAGCTTGATTTTCTGATGTTGCATGGGTTTTAGAAACTCATGAAGGTGGTTCTTCTGACCCAGAAGATTGGTATTCGCGACTATGAATGTGCGACTGATACTATTGAACAAACCTAATGTATCCAGTCGGCAGGGTTTACACTATGGAGCCTGGGAGTTAACGTAAACAAATGACCACATGTGGAAGGAGTTTGGGCAATTTACTTGCTCAGCAATGGCTTGCATAGAAGAGGCATCCCTGCAGAATCTTGCTCGAGTCACTTAACTTCCCTAGAGGGGTAGTTTTACTACCTGAAAATGGGGCGTGGGTGTTGGACATCCTGACCTCTAACACTACGGTGCCCCTCCGGAATGGGGGATGGGGGGAGGTTACTCCCCAATTAGTACTCTTTGCGTTGTAGCCCTCCTCCAGGCCCCCGTCACTCATTTTTGGGTGAGAAACTGAGGTTCGGCGAGATGGGTAGTGGTGGGGGAGGGGAGGGATTTGGAGCCAGGACTCACAGTATCACTTACCCCAGTTGGCTCCTCCCTTCCCTCTCTCCTTCCTTCCTTCCTCCCTCCTCCTTCCTTCCTCTCCTCCCTTCTTCCTTCCTTCCTCCCTCCCTTCCTTCTCTTCCTCCTTCCTCCCTCCCTCCCTCTGCCTTCCTTCCAGCCTTCTTTGCTCCCTTCGGGGCCCCGCAGCCCCCAGGCACACACGGGGTGGCTGGAAGCTGCCACTCTGCTGCGGGGCAGCGGGGACGTGTGGCCCGGACTGGCTCGGCCCGAGCCCAGCTCCTCCTTCCTGCCTTTCCCAGCTGGGAGCCAGAAGGAGGCAAGGCGAGGCCCCGCCCTCGGGCCCGCCCCGGCCCCGCCCCCGACGGCCTTGGCCTTGCCCCTGAGCGCGGTGGGGGGGGAGGGACGGTTTTCAGCGGGAGGGAGGAAGGGAAAGAGAGAGAGAGAGAGAGAGAGAGAGAGAGGGGGAGAAAGACAGAGGGGGAGAGAGGGAGAGCGAGAGGGAGCGAGAGGCGAGCCCGGGCGGGCAGGGCGGCAGGTGGGCTCGGGCCGCCTCGCGGGCACAGGTGAGCCCCGGGGACCTGCACAGCACCGCCCTCGGTCCCACGTGGCCCCCCTTCGGTGCCCTCGCCAAGCTACCAGGTGAGCGCCCTGCCAGGTAGGTGAGCGAGGAGCGGGAGCCGGGGTCCTCCGCCAGGCCGGCCGGCCGGCCGCCGGGGAGCCCAGGCCCCCTCCCCATCCCCCAGCGGGCGCGAGCGCGGGCGCGGGGGCCCCGGGCGGGCCGGGCGGGGCGGGGCGGCGCGGCGCCCGGGCCGCCTCTAGGTGTACAGGGCACTTCGGAATAGGCTGGCTGCCGGCCCGCAGACGAGGCGAGAAAAGCACATAACGGGCGCAGAGCAGGCAGCAGCCCAGCGGTGCGAATGTAAACTGAAGCCTGGCGCTGGGGGCGGGGGAGGGGGGCGGAGAGGGAGAGCCAGAGATCGAGAGAGAGAGAGACCGAGAGAGAGACTGGGGGAGGGGCTGGGGAGGGGGCGGGGGAGGAGCGGGGAGCGAGGGGAGGAGGGGGCTGGGAGCAGGAAAGAGCTGGGAGCGTGGAGCGCTCAACTGTTTGAACAAGAGGCCTGGCCTGCCAGGTGAACCTGCGCAGCTCTCGTGCCTGGGGCTGGGGTGGGGAGGGAGACAGCTGGGGCCCAGAGAGGCCGGGGAGAGGGGAAAGAAGCCCCAGCTCCTGGCCCTTCCTGAGCATCTTCCCTTGAAGTCAATCAACTAGCATTGAGTAAGCACCCACTGAGAGCCAGGCCTTGGAAAGAACTCCAAAGACCTAAAGAAAACAACCTCTGCCATCAAGAAGTTTGTATTCTGAGGGAGAGACAACTAAAACATAGGCAAGAGCATTTATTAAGCTCCTGCTGTGTGCCAGGCCCTGTGCTAAGCACTAGATGTAAAGGCAAAAGAGGAGCCTTGCTCTTGAGGAACTCACAAGTCCAGTGGGGGACACAGCACGCTAACAACTATTTACAAAAGAGCTCTAGGCAGGATCAGTTAGAGACAGGCAAAGGTTAAAAAAAAAAAAACAACCAAACCTCTAGAATTAAGGGGGACTGGGAAAGGCTTTCAGTACAAGGTGAGATTTTTAATATACGTATATCCAATATGCAAATGATAACTGTCATGTCAAAACCAAGATTTACATGTAGCACATGCCAAATAAATACAAGGTAGTGGGGTCAGGGCAAAGCAGTAGGCATTGGGGACATGAGGAAAGGCTTCCTCTAGAACAGCAGTTCTCAAATCCCTGGAACCTTTCCGGGGTACAGGAGGTCAAAACTGTTTTCATAATAATCTAGGACATTTTAATTTCTAATATGGCAAATACCAATGGGTATAACCACATAAAAGCTCTTTGGGGGGGATCCTTAGTCATTTTTAAGAGTGTAAAGGGGTCCTGAGTCCCTAAAATTTGAGATCCACTGCTTTAGTAGGTGGCTCTGGGGCTGAGAATGAAAGGAAAGGGATTCATAGAGGTTTAGGGCTAGGGAGAAATAAGGGGAGAGTGTTCTCCAGTTAAAAGAGACAGCCTGGGCAATAGCTCACAGATAGATGAAATGTCACTTTGTGAAGAATAACAAGGCCATTTTGGCCTGATTGTAGAGTTCATAGAGGGAGTAATATAGTGATTCCCAAACCCCTGGGGCAAGGGTGGGGAACCTGCAGCCTCAAGGCCATGTGTGGCCCTCTAGGTAAAGTGCAACTGTTTCACTGAGTCCAAACTTTACAGAACAAATCCTTTTATTAAGGGTATTTGTTCTGTGATGTTTGGATTCAGTCAAGGGCCTCACCTGAGGACCCATAGGGCTACATGTACCCTCGAGGCTGCAGGTTCCCCATGGGCTTTGCACTAAATATTCATTAAATGACTCCTTAAACAGTAATTGCCTGTGTTACAAATATATTTATACAGACAACCCTCCCCCCCCCACACATGTTCCAGGGATCCACAACACATTTTTTCCCCTTATTGTTGAAATTGATTCGAAGAACAAAAAAAATTAGGGAGCACTGGAATAATGTATAATGGAGCTAGAAAGGTAGGCCAGCCAGAGTCAGGTAGTGAATGGCTGTGATCCTGGAGGTAATAGGGAGCCCCTAGAGTTTGCTGAGCAGGGGAATACCATGGTCAGACCTATGCTTTTTTTCCTACTTAACTTTTCAATGCAACCGATAGTAACAGGCCCATTCTCAGGTGTAATGATAGGTCCTGAACATACAGAGAGGTCTAAAAGCTTCCTCTCCTCAAGAAACTTAAATTCTGATTGGTTGTTCCTGTCCATGAGGGCCAGTAAATATTAGTATAGCTAATCCCCAAATTGTGTGTCCATTTGGAATGTGTTTTCGTACTTTTCCGGGTGTCCAATAGTCTGAGAGGTCCTATTTGAGAGGTAAGTCCTTTGTTGAAACCTGCCTTGGAAGTCATACGACTCTCCGGGCTCCCCCTCCTGTTTTTGGAATAGATGACCTCACTCCTCAGATTAATGCAAGGACCAGACCTAAAAAGAGATGTGCTCTCACTTTCTAAGCTGGCTTGCTGGTTTTTTTTTAGGGTCAGGAGAGGCGATTAAATGTCTCTGGCTTAAAAGGAATGAATCTCAAACCTCCTTCTGTCCCAACTCCTCCTAGGCTGTGAGTAGAGCTCATGATATTAACAAAGACTTTGTTTAAACCGAAGAAAAGATTGTTTTCTTGTTGAAAACAAAATTGGCCCAAGGTAAAATAGACACTATAGAATTGATTATAACTAAATTGTTTTATCTTTTCTCTCCTTTTCCTAAAGGCGCATCAATGGCTGAGTCAGGCAGTAAGAGGGGGAAAAAAATCAAAAGGTTTGGGCCTTAGGAAAATTACTACCTGCACCCCCAGAATGCATTTTTCAGGGAGGGAGCAGGCCTGGTGACTGACTGGTGACTAAATGAAATGCAGAAGTGGGTTTCATAGTTGCCCTGTCACCTGACCACACATGGTCCATTCAGTCTTCTTAGGTTCTCCTGGCTGCTCCCCCTCCTCCACCTTTGTCCCTCTCCACATCTGTCCTTTAGGCAGCTCAGTTCCCAGCTTTCCATGGGCCCCAGATCCAAAGCTATGCCAGCAAATGATGAGCTACAGCCTAGTTAGGGCAAGGAATAATCAGGGACTGACAAAACACCAGATGATGAAGAGGGTTAAGAGACCCATAGTGGAGAGATTAACTCAGCTGAGTTAGTGTCAAGTAGCACTTGGGTATCAGAAAAGAAATCCATGCAAAGAGCAAGTGAGAAGACTGCTGATAATGAAGTGGACTTGAAAATCCTTGGAGTGGTGGAATAAATGAGGTCACCCAAGAACAAAGGAGAGAGCAGCCGAAGGAAATCAAGGCCAGGGAGCTAGGAGATAAGAGTTGGCTTTGATTCCTTTCTCTTAGGACAGACCTTCTTTGGTCTATGTGCCCTTTGCTTTTCAGTAAACTTTCCTATACCTTCTATTTGATATGAAATTATTAACATAACATATAACATAACATAATATAAATTCTAGAGTTTCCTATGAATGTACACTGAAATATAAAATAGAGAGATTGATTAACCTCAGTGGGATAATTATTTGCCAATCATTCCCCCTGGAAGTACACATTCCTTGGGTTGGGAATACCCTGTCTTAGGAGAAGGAGCAAATTTTTTTTTTTTGGCTAGGCAATGGGGTTAAGTGACTTGCCCAGGGCCACACAGCTAGTAAGTGTTATGTGTCTGAGGCTGGATTTGAACTCAGGTACTCCTGAATTTAGGGCAGGTGCTCTACCCACTGCGCCACCTAGCTGCCCCTAGAAGGAGCAAATCTTGATCAGCTGAGGGGAATACTGAATAATAAATAGCCAGTTGATAAACATTAAGCAACTACTGTGTGTAGGGCACTGTGCTAAGCTGGTTCACTGGTTCAGATATCTGCTTCTTTAGCAACCCCTGTATTCCTCATGTACCCAAGTGATTTAGTCAAGTGGCAGGAAGTGGTCTGAACGAGTGCATGAAGGGACAGCTGAGACTGGCATCTTGTCTCAGAGTTTCTGATCTTTTGCAGACAATGCCACAGATGCCAGGGGATTGGCCCACATGTTCTGCATAGAAGTTGAGGGGGTCAAGAATGAACTTTGATCTTTCCTGATAATGGTGGTGGAATGACACCTCGGGACCTGTACCGAATGCTCAGGTAACATGACGTCTCTTTTCTACCTCCTGTCTTGGCATATTTATGGGTTCTGGTAGAAGCTTTAACATTTCACCCTTCTTTCTCACATTGGGGTGGGGGGGGAACAGAGGAGCTGGCCTCAGATTTAAAGCTGGAAGGATCCAACCTCTCAGTTTACAAAGGAAGAAAAGTTGAGGCCCAGAGAGCCCTCAGAGATTCAAATCTAGCTGAGGGATGGGATAAGTAGAAAAATAACTGGGTCAAGGGTATAAGGGGAAGGCTTGGCCTTGGTCAGGAGAAGGCCAGTTCAGCCTTTGAGACTAATAAGTGTTCCAAGATTTTCAGAATGCTTTCTCAATATCAAATTATTCTTTCTGGCATCCCTCTAGGGTAGCTAAAGAGGAGGTATTTTGCTTGCTTTTTAAAAAAAATACTGAAAAACTGAGGTATAAAAATTAAATGGTTCTCAAAAACCAAGGCATTGTTGGAGCTGACACTAGAAACCTGTGTTCTATCCCTGCTTCCTGTATCATAGCGTCATAGATTGAACTGGAAGGGCCCTCAGGCCCACCCCCTCATTTTACAGAGGGGGAAACTGAGACCCAGGGAAGGGAAGGGACTTGCCCAAGGTCACACAGGTAGTGTCAGAGGTAGGACTTGAGCCTAGGCCCTCCGACTCCAGAGCCAGTGGTCTTTTTGCTGCTACGCAATTATTTGTCCTTCCGTTTAGAAGCAGTAAAGCTCAGTCACCAATGGACTGTTTAGAACTCATTACTACCAGGGTCCCCGTGGCCAGCGTTGGACCTGGGGTCTGGGTGATCTGAACTCCAGTCTGGCCTCAGATACTTCCTAGCTGGGTGGTCCGAAGCAAGCTATTTTTGCCTTTCAGCCTCCATTTCCTCATCTGTGAAATGGGGATGATGATAATAATAGCACCTCCCTTACCTTACCTTAGTTGAGGATTAAATGAGGTAATATTTGTAAAATGCTTCACAAACTTTAAAGTGCTTCATAAATGCTGGTTATTCTTATTGTTATTGACTTGAATCTGTGATATCTTTTATCATGTGGGTTTGAGCCTCATTTTTAGAGGCTGTGGAATCACCTGTCCTCAGCACTCCCCCAGCACATCCATATATGTATACTCTCTGTGTCAAAAAGCACCAAATCGAAATAAAATCTCAGAGGTTTCATTCCAAAAATACATTTTGTTTTCAGAGCGCTAGTGAGCTCAGGGTGGGAGGTGGAGGGAGTCTGGGGAGGCCTGTTTTTTAGTTAGGACACTAGAAATGTTCCCTGGGGCCTTCCCTATACCAGGACAGGAGTGGATGAAGATGGGCAGCCACCTTGCCCTCTACCCCTGGCCCAGAGCCCAAACCCACCAGAGGCTGGGATAGGGCCCAGCCCCTCAGACACACAGAGCCAGGGCAGTCTCATGCCCTTGGCCCCTGTGATGTTCTTCAGGGAGCTTGGAAAAAATGGATTAATGCCTTTCATTTCTGAGTATGTATGCCACCTTTCCCGGGCCCAGTGAGACATCCCTTGTAACAAAGAATAACAAAGTAAGAGAAAAAAAACCCTGCCATTATGTCTGATGGTATATGCAGTGTTCTGCACCCATAGTCCCCCCAGCTCTGCATAGATACAAGGGCCGAGCTTATTTGGTCATTCATTTGACAAGGATGGCTTCTGTCCCAGACACTGTGCGGGGCCTGGGGATGTAGAGGCAGGAGTGAAACCTGCAAGGAGCTTACATTGCAGGGAAGCCCAGGGGGAGGCACAGGGCACGGGAGGCCCTGCATTTTGGTGGAGATCTTTGTTCTTTCATATGTGTTATCATACTTATTGTGTGTATTCTCCTGGTAACTTGTAAATATGAAAATAAAAATCAAAATGCTCACTATAACTTTTAAATAAAAATTATCTCTTTCCCCCCTCTTATCCTCCCTTTCCCCACTTTTTGTCTCGTCTTTTTCTCCCTCTCTTACTCTTTTCCCTCCTCTTTCCCCCTTTTTCTCCTTCTGCTTTCTTCCCCCTCTCCCTCCTTCCCCTCCCTCTGTTTCTCCTTCCCCCCTCTCTCCCTTTTTACCCTCTTCCCCCTCTTTTCTTCCCCTTCTCTCTTCTCCCCCCTTCCTCCATCTTTCCCTCTTCCTCCTCTTCCTCCCCTTCTCCTTTCTTCTTCTCCCATTTTCCCCTTTCCCCCTTCATTCCCCTCTCTTCTTCCTCCTTTTGCACTTCTTCCCCCACTCTTCCCCTTCTCCCTTTCCTTCCTCTTCCCCCTTTACCCCCCTCATTCCCCTCTTTGTCCCTTCTTTCCCTCCTTTTCCTCCTCCTTGTTCTGTTTTCTTCTTCTCCCCTCTCTTCCTTCTCTCCCCCCCCCCAATCAGGAGGCTTCAGCTACCCTGTTTCTCACAACAAACAAGGCAGGGCTCTGCCCTGCTCCTCTCAGATCCACTGGAGTGCTAGATGCAATGGGCACATAGCCCCGGACCACACGCCTCCCAAGCAGAAAAGCTGGGCCTAACACGAGGCTGCTTAAAGGTTATGTCCCTGGAGCTCTCAGAATCTAGGAAGACTTTTCCCTATTCCAGCTGATGCTTAGCTTGTCATGCCAAGGGTGCCCCTTGCTAAGTACCCCGCATGCTGTTGGCCACTTAAAAAAAAGTTTTAAATTCAGAACCTAAACACCAAAAAGAAACATAGCTATATGCTGGGCAGAACCGCGAAAGAGGCCACCCTGTGAGACTGCGAATCTCCATTTCTTCTCGCTTGCTTTTTCCAAAAAAAGGATGTAATAAATTCCACACTTCACTTTCAAAACTGTCCTGCTCGTCTTTGCTTCCTTCTGAACTTCCTTCTGTTCTGTCTGTCAGTCAACAAGCATCTTGTAAGTGCTTACTGGGTGCCAGCTCCCATACCAAGGACCCAAAGAAAGGCAGAAGCCACTCCTAAGGAGCTGACATCCCGATGGGGCACACAGCTTGCAGACGGCTCGCCACAGACTGGATAGATGTCCACAGTGCACATGGGAAGTGATCTCAGAGGGGTGGCTCTAGCACTGGGAGGCAGGCCCAAGAAAGGTCTCCTGTACCAGCTGGGATTTGAGCTGAGTCTTGAGGGACTTCAGCCGAGGTGAGCAGGGAGGGCGTTCCAAGCTGGGGGGATGGCCAGGGAATGTGCCTGGAGCGACTTGTTCACAGACCAGCCAGGACACCAAGGTCGTGGGGTCAGAGTATATGGGAGGGAGTCAGGGGGAAAGATAGGAGGGGGCCAAGTTGAGAAGAGCTGTAAATATCAAATAGAGGATTTTCTGTTTGATCCTGAAAATAATAGGGAGCCACTGGAATATATTGAATAGGAAGGACACCATGGTCAGACTTGCCCTTTGTGCAGATCCCTTTGGCAATTGAGTATAGAGCATGAACTGGATTGGGGAGAGACTTGAGGCAGGGAAACGAAGGGCTTTTGCAGCAGGATGGGGGTAGGGCCAGAGGAGAGAAGGGGACATTGACGGGAGGTGCCATGGAGGTAGAAAAGATGATGGGTGGCAACAGATTGGATGTGGGAGGTAAGAGAGTGTGAGGAGTCCAAGAGGACAGTGAGATGGTGAGCCCTGGGTGGCTGGGAGGATGGTGTCGAGTTAGAGAGCAATTGGGAGGTTGGGGAGATGATGGCAGCTGTTTTAGACATGTTGAGTTTGAGATGCATGGCAGGATGGCCATTCGGAGGTGTCCAAAAAAAAGGGTAACAGACTGGAGTTTAGCAGAGAGGTTGGGGCTGGATTTAGCCATCTGAGAATCACCTGCAGAGAGATGATAATTGGGAGCTTATGATGTCACCAAGAGAGATGGTTTAGAGGGAGAAAAGGACCCCAGACAGAACTTTGGGGGAATAACCACCTTTGGTGGGTGTGACCTAGACAAAGACCCAGCAATGGAGAGTGAGGAGCATTTTTTTGTTTAGGTTTCAATGGCCTTCTTTTGTTTAGTATCACTATTTCTAACCCTCCCCGCTTCTCCCCATCCCCACCCCCCCATTAAAAACGAAGAGAAAGGAAAAAAAAATAAATCCTTTAGCCAAGAAACAGAGCCAAGCAAAACAAATCCACCCATTGGCTGGGTCCAAAAATAGACCTCTGTACCTTGTGTCCATGAGCTCCATGTCAGCATGTTGATAAGATGTTCTCCGGAGATCACCACTTCAATCCAAGTTCTTAGGTCTCTCAGAGTTGTTGTTCATTACAATGTTGCTGTCCTTGTAGAAATTGTTTCCCTGGTTCCATTTGCTTCTATGTCAGCTCATACCACCCACAGACTTTCTCAGAAAGTGTATCTTTTGTTATTTCTAATGGAGCAATATTATTCCATTATATTCACATCCCAGGCTCTGCTCCCCTGCTGGACTTTCAGACGGGGTGATCAGCCCTGCTGGTCCTGCCCTGGGCCCCCTGGTTTTCTATGCTGACCTCTGCCATCTGATGTTGGCCCCCCTGGATCATTGAGATTCAGAGTACTAGATCTTCAACACCTTTTGTGGTGTCTTAGGACAGGGTGCTGGGGACCTCTGAGCTCCTAGCCTTGGAGTGTCCTAGTACAGCTGCTATGATAGATACCCTGCTGGCCACTGACAATCTCAAGGACTTCCCAAGTCCCCACCCTGGGCCTTTTTTTTTTTAAGCTCCCTGGGGTTTTCTCATAGAAATCCTCTGCTCTTGCTGCGTCCAGACATGGAGCCATGCAGGCTCCATGTCTCTCCGGCCCATTGTCAGGCATGCTGGGAGGCTTCTCTGGTGGCCCCCTTCCCTTTTGTCCTTGGGCTTCTGACTTGCTTTTCATATACTTGTGTCTCTGGCTTTGACACTGTCTATCACCATCCTCTCCTGAATACTTTTATCTTTCTAGGTTTTAATAGTCCCATTCCCTTCTGGTTCTCCTCTTACCCATCTGACCGTTCTCCCTCTTGTCTCCTTTGCTGGATCTTCCTCCAAGTCATGCCCACTAACTGTGATTGTCCCCAGGGCTTTATCTTGGGACCTCTTCTCCTTCTGTATTATTTCTCATGGTCATCTCAGCAGCTCCTGTGAATTCAGTGATCATCTCTACACTCATGATTCTCTGATCTGCTTGTCCAGCCCTAACCTGTCTTCCAAGGTCCAGTCTTACATCTCCAAGCACCTCAAAGATGTCTCAGACTGAATGTCTGGTAGATATCTTAAACTCAACATGTCCAAAATTGAACTTAGTATCTTTTCCCCACAAACCTCCCCCCTCCCAAATGTCCCTGTTACCATTTAGTACACCGCCATACTCCCACATCCCAGGCTCACGACTTGAAGGGCAGCCTCAACCACTCACTCTCAACTCCCCATATCTAGGCTGTTGCCAAATCTTGCCAATTTTACCTTCACCATATCTCTTGAGTGTACCCCCTTCTCTCCTGTGACACTGCCACCACTCTGGTGTAGACCCTCATCACCTCACACCTGGACTGTTGTAATGGCTGCTAATGGGTCTGCCTGCCTCAGTCCCCCTCCACGCTCCAGTCCATCCTCCACTCAGCTTCTAAAGCGATCTCTAAAAGGGCTGATCTGACTGTATCGCCTCTCCCCTTCCCAACATCTGCTCACTCAAACTCAAATGGCTTCCTGTTGCCTCCAGGATCCAATCCAGAATGCTTTGTTTGGCACTCAAAGCCCCTGATGATGCAGCCCCCTCCTACCTTTCCATTTTCCTCCCACCTGATTCCCCCAGCCCCACATACTCTTTGCTTCAGTGACAATGGCTTCCTGGCTGATCCTTGCACACATGATGCTCTATCTTCTGATTCTGGGCATTTTCCCTAGTAGGCCGCATGCCTGGAAGGCTCTCCCTCCTCATTCCTGCCTCCTGGCTTCCCTGGATTTCTTCAAGGCACAGCCCACGTCTCACCTTCTACATGAAGCCCACCTTTTAATTCTAGTGCCTTCCCTCTGGTGACAATTTCCACTTGATCTCGTTCAGAGCTTGTCTGTGCACAGTTATTTGCATGCTGTCTCCTCCGTTAGACCCTGAGCTCCTCTAGGGGAGGGCCTGGCTTTTCTCTTTCTTTGTATCTCTAGAGGTTAGCACAATGCCTGGCACATAGGAGCTCATTAAATGTTTATTGACTGCTTGAATTCTAGGGTAGAAGTCACTCACTGTGGTTTCCGATTGGATGTCTTGATCATTTTTCAGTCTTGGGTGAATCTCAGCTCTTTGCTAGAGTAGGTGTTTGGGAATGGGTGGACATCTTGGCCAGAAGTGCGGTTGACCGTGAAAATACTACCCCTTCACCCTATGTACAATAACAGAACATGTTAAGAAGCAGTAGAAAAGGGGTTAGCTTTGGACCTAGAGGACCCAGGTTCACGGGCAAGGCACTTCCCTTCTTGGTTCTTGGTTTCCTTCTCTGTAAAAGGAGGAGGAGTGGACTAGATGGCTTTTTTGTTGTTGTTGTTGGGCAGTGAGGTTAAGTGACTTGCCCAGAGTCACACAGCTAGTAAGTGTTATGTGTCTGAGGCTGGATTTGAGCTCAGGTCCTCCTGACTCCAGGGCTGGTGCTCTAACCACTGCACCACCTAGCTGCCCTATATGGCCTTTGAGGGCCTTTCCAGCTGTAGATCTAGGAGCCTATGTGTGAACTTGGACAAGTCTCTTCCCCTCTCAGGGCCTCAGTTTCCCCATCTGTAAAATGAGGAGGTTGGACTAGGTAGCCTCTGAGGTTGCTTCTAGCCCTAGATCTAGGATCCTGTGTGTCTCCTCGGGCAAATCCCTTCCCTGGGTCTCAGTTTCCCCATCTGTAAAATGAGAGGATCGGCTTCATTGACTTTTAGGGCCCTGCCAGCTCTAGCTCTCTGAGCCAATGAACAGTTTCTTCCTTTTTCCTTTTCTTCAACCAAGCCCTCAGTACCACACCCACTTTTAAGCATCTGCAACATTTCTGCTAGTTTGTATAAAAGATGTTCCCCAACTGTAGGGTGGGAGTAAGAGGTTAGAGGGGGATGGCTGATGATCCTTGGGTGGTTCAGCTCCTCAACTGCTGCCATTGGGGAAATGAGAAATATTAAAAACTAGTGCCCTTTTCTCGGGAAATTCCTGGTATTTCACGCACAGCAAGCACATTTGTCCAGTGTTTAAGTTATTTCCTGAACATTAAATGTATTGTCCTTCATGAACAAGAACATGTTAATAACTTCATTTTTATTTTTGATTTAATTTTAAATTCTAATTTGCCTTTTGTTTTTATGGCACCTTCATCATCAAAGGTGTCTCTTTTTCCACTATAAAACATCCCTTATAACAAAAAAATTAGAATGGGATAGGGGGGAAGACAATTCTAGAAAACTTCATCCTTATATCATTCGAGTCTGACTGTGTATGTGATGTTCCACACCCATAGCTGCCTCCCCACCCCCCACCATGGAAAATCACGCATTTGCTAATGTCTTCTTTGAGACCAAGCGTGGCTATTGTCATTAGGTCACGTTCCTCTTCTTTTCTCTCTTTTCTTTTCCTACAAAGAAACATATTTTTAACTTTCTGTCAATAGGACATATGCCTCAAGTTTCCTTTTCCAGTAGAGGGGATAGGCTAGCTGCCACCATCTCAGCCTCTTGCTGAGCCCCTCCAGACCAGGGGCGTACGTGTGTGCCAGGGGGTGGTCAGGGCTGTGGGCTCCAACCCTCCCATCAAACAGAGCCCAGTCTGGTGGCTGTGTATGGAGCATGGAAAGAATGGTCAGCTCCTTGTTAAAGGAATGCCCATGCCATCAGGCCACTAGGGGGCTGAAGCAGGCAGGCCATGTTCCTGAAGAGGCCCTGAGAAAGCCTTCAAGAGGTGGCGTAACTTTGACAAGCTTCTCCTCTTTCCCTAGGGAGTAGCCTATTTACTGAGAAAATTCTGAGGTGGCACAGCACTTCCTGTTTTGGCATCTGTGGCGTCAGACAAGACTGAGCCAAGCACAGGTCTTTACACATAGTAAGCGATAAATTAATAAGTGTTTGTGGAATTCCTCCTATTGGCCATCTTGGTTGATGCTTTGGTTTTTGCTGAAATGCTCTTTTTCCTTCTCTGTCTTCTCTAGTCTCTGTTACTGGGAACAGTGGCTGGCTGAGTAGGTTGAGAGGGAGAGGACAGGGCTTCATGGGCCAGGGGTAATAAAGCTGTAAATTACTATTATGTGTATTTCCCTCTAAGCTCGGAAAATGGGATGGCAGGAGCATTCACTCATCTTATCTGCCACAGTTATGATGATGGTCCCTGAGCAGAGGGCCTTCCATGTGTTTAGGGAGCGGATTCTCCATTTCTCTTGAAGACATTCTGGTCAGGCTCCTAAAATCAATCAGCAAACATTTACTGATCACCTACTATGCATGAAGAACTGGAGAGACTAAGACCAAAATGAAATAAATGGTCCCTGTCTTCAAGGAGCTTATATTGTAGAAATAGCATGTGATCCTATAACTGTATACAAGGACATTTTCAGTAGAAACCCTAGGAGCTGGAGGAAGCATAGGGCCCTAGCTCTCAAGCTGAAAGGGACCTCAGGGGCCAGCTAAGTCCAACTCCTTCTTTTTACAGATCAGGAAACTGAGGTCCAGGAAAGGTTGCACAGGTTAGAAGCATCGAGGACAAATCCCTTTCCCTCCCTGGGCATCAGTTTTCTCCTCTGTACAATAAGGGATCAGACTCTTATGACCTCCAAGATCCCTGGCAGCCCTAGGTCTGGGAGCCTGTGTGTGCCTGTTAGTAAGGCACTTCCCTGGCTCTCTATTTCCTCCTCTGTACAATAAGGAGGTTAGACTTAGGCCTCTGAGGTCCCTTCCAGCTTGAGAGCTAGGGTCCCTATGACCACACCTTCACAGTCACACAGTGACTGAAATGAATAATAATTACTGATTTACAGAACAAGCAATTGACTTAATGGGTCTTAAAGATAGAGGCCCAGCTGTGACTCAGAAAGCCTTGGATGTCATGCAGAGTTGTACATGGTTAGGAGAGTCTTCTACAAATGGGGAGGTTCTCCAGCCACTCCATTTTCACATGATTGCATATGTTGATTGTATTAAGCCCCACAAGGCTCTAGGCCAGAAGACACCCTCAGTGAGATCCATGACCAATCAAAAGAGATTGACATGGTGAGACCTAAGGGAAAAAGTCCAGTGGATGACAAATGCATAGTGCCCAGACTATACCATTGGCGATATGCCATCGGATGAGCAGCTCATCCAGTTAGTCCATCATTGGCATCTCTCTTGGACAGGCCCTGAATTCAACCAGAGGAAGAGATTGAATGGAATCCCTTGTGGAAACTTTCAGTGACCCCAACTTGCTCTGTTCTTTTTCATGCTTGTGATGCTGTAGAGCTGTGAATCGTTCAATACCGCCATTGCCAAAGCCTCCGAATGGTGTGTAACTCAAAGGGTGACAGAAAGACACTTGGTGTGGAGATGTGGGGTGCAGCCTATTCCCCATGAGGAGTGTTTGTAGAAAATCCCTCCAAAGACATATATGACCAGGAAAGAATAAGGGTGAACAATCACATACTGTCCCATAATTGAACTCGGGGAATCCAATGAAGTCAGCTAGAGAGAGGACAAAAAGAAAACAGAAGCTGGCCCAGGGCACATCCTTGCATGATTCCTCATAGTTGGGGGAGGGAGAGGTGCTGATGGATGAGCCAGCGTAGGAGGCTGAGAAGACATGGTAATATGGTGCAGGGGAGAACACGTAGGGGAACAGTGTCAAGGAAAACAAGGCAGGAGAGTGGCTGGGAAAGGTGAGGCCCCCATGTCAGAAGCAGCAGAGCATCAGGGAGGAGGTCAGGACTGAGATGAGGCCCCCAAGCTCATGGAGGGTAACTTCGGAGAGAACACTTGTGGTGAGGCACTGGGGTCAGAAGCCAGATCACAAGAGTGATCAGGAAGTGGGTGGGGAGGAAAGAGAGGCCAACAGGGGCTGTTCTTTTGTAGGGGCTTAGCAGTGAAAGGGAAGACGGGCCTAGCTTGGTAGCTTGAAGGGTTGATAGCATCGAGGCAAGGCTTTTGTTGAAGGATAGGGAGAACCTGAGTGGATAGTTGAAGGCCCCAACCTTGCTTTCTGCTGTACTCCGAGGAAGCATAGGGTAAGGAGAAAAGTTGGGGATTTGAGCAGGGCCAGAGCCACTAATTTGGGGAGTGTGCCTGGGGCTGAGAGACAGCGACCAGCTGGAGGCCTAGAGTACTTGTTATTTGTGGGTGGAAATGTTTGGGGTGGGATCCACACCTGTCATTTCCTGTGTAAGAGGCTTGGCTACCTGTAGCCCTCCACCTGCTCTGTAACTCAGTGACAGCTGAAGGGACTAGCTCAGGGCCACCCAGTTGGGAGATATGGCAGAGGCTGGACTTGAACCCAGGGCTTCGTGCCTCCTAGAGCACCTCTCTTGGTGTGGAAAGGAAATCCCTTGTTTACAGTTTAGGTCCACTGTTGGGAAAAGGCTTTCTGAAGCCCTTCAGAGGCAGCTTAGAATGTTTGTCCTAGTCAGGAAGCCCCAAGTTGAAATCCAGCCTCACACATTTACTAGCCATGTGACCCTGGACAACTGCTGTCAGCTTCAGTTTCTTCATCTGTATAATGGGCATCATAACAGCATCTACCTCTCAAGGTTGTTGTGAAGGTCAAATAAGATAACATGCACAGTGCTTTGCATTATATGAAGCATTATATAAGTGCTAACTCTTATGATTTACTATGTGTGTAGTTACAAGCTGAGACAGAGAAATGTGTCATAGCACCATCGAACTGGAACTGGAAGGGACCTTGGAGGTTGAGTTCCATCCCTTCTTTTTCTAGATCAGGAATTAGATCAAGGTCAAGAGAGGTTCAAGTGACTTGCCCAGGATCACATAGCCAGTGAGTGCCTGCAGCAGGATTTGAGCTCAGATTTTCATAGGATCATTGCACCACAGATTCCCATTCTAATGAGAACTCAAAGTAATGCTTAGAGGCCACTGAGTTCAACGCCTTCATTTTACAGATGAGGAAACTGAGGCCCAGAGTGGTTAAGTGAATTGTCCAGATAGTGCTTTTCTTTTTAGTCAGTTATGGTTAAATGACTTGCCCAGGGTCACACAGCTAGTGTCAAGTGTTTGGTCTGAGGCCGCATTTGAACTCAGGTCTTCCTGACTTCAAGGTCCAGCACTCTCCAGTGTGCCACCTAGCTGCCAACAGGAAGGGCGAGGGTCTTGACAGGGCAAGCAGGCTTCTGAAAAAGTGCCATTTTCTGCAGGTACTTATGGGTATAAAGAAAACTCTCAATCATTCTGGACCTTGGATTTACTGCCAGTCTGTCACTGGCCTTGTGGGCAGTTTGTTGTGTTCTGGTGGGGAGGACAGAGACATTCTAATCTTCCAGCTTGTCACTGGCCTTGCCCACGATCTATCTGGGTTTGTAAAGGAAGGTGAAATCCGGGGATTAGATGCGACTTAGATAGAAATGGAGGCCGTTCTAAAATGGCATTACTCATGTCAAGAAAGGGAAAATACTGTGCCCTTCTTGCCACTTCGCCCCTCCCCCCACTGTTGACTCAGCCACGTTGCACAGGCCCTAAATAATCCTTGGGTTTAAACCTCTTCTTATGGCATGGCTTGGCCTGAGGGGTTCTACTGCTGTTCAGGAGCCTTGTGGATGGTGCTGGGGGAGGGGTAGATCAAGCACCAGGGCTGGGGGTGAGCTGCTGCTGCCTTGCTAGGTGCACCATTTGGGTAGGGGAGACAGAGACCTGGGCACAAAAAAATTCTACTCGATTTCTAGGTCGGACTGAAGAAATCTGAAGTCTGCCCTATTGATCATCTGGCCTGATAACTTGATCGTTGTCAATCCCTCACAGCAGGCCCCTGACAGCCTCTTAACTTCCCATGAGCCTGCTGACCAGCCACACCCTGCAACTTGAGCTGGCTCTATTTGAGCCTCTGTCAACAATACTCCTTGAATCTTTTTCACAAGGCTTGAGAAACTGCCTGGTGTGGTGGTGCCAGGACTGTGAACTCCTTTAAACTTCCACTTGAAATCAGTTTCCAACATTGCATTTGCCATTCTGTATGTGACTGGAGAAGGCCATGGGCCCCTGTCTTGGGTCTGCTCAAAATAGCAACTCTAGCTTGCTTGTCATCTCTGTTGAGGCACCAGAGAGGCAGGCACCTGTCCCTGAGCTGGGTAATTATGGCCAGACCCTGAAATCCCTCTTTCCTCTCTCTGTTTGCTTTTTTTTCTTCAGGTTGACTCGAGCTGCCCTTGGCCAGAAGCTCAGTGCTCCTTGGAAGGAGAAGGCATCCCAGAAAAATGTTCCCAACTCAGCTGCAGCCAGACCAATAGTGTGAGTCAGAGGGGCCGCACCCACAGATGGGGGGGGCCGGGGAGGGAGCGTGGCAGGGAAGGCTTGGAGACCATGAGAATGCAAAATGACAGGGCGGGACTATGTGATCCCCAAGCACTTTTCAACTCTCAAATTATAGTGGCTGCCCGGAATCCTTTTGGCTTGCCCTTTTTTGGTCCATCAATTATATTCATTTATAAGGATTTACTAAGACCCTACTATGTGCCAGACACTATGCTAGGTGTTAGAGATTCAATAAGAAAACAGCCCTTGGCGCCGAGGACCTCGTGTTCCATAGGAGGAGAGAGAAATCAGTAAGCTTTTATTAAGTCCCTACTGTGTGCTAGGTACTATGCTAGTCCCTGAAGACACGACTATGTAAATGAAATGACCTCTGCCCTCAAATAGCTTATATTTTAATGGAGGAGACATCAAGCAACAAGCATTTATTAAGTGCTTTCTGTGTACCAGACACTGTGCTAGTTCTTGGGGATACAAAGGAAAAAGGGGGAAAAATTTTGTTCCTGCCCCTAGGAAGAAATATGTGTGTGCACACATGTATGTGCATGTACACACATGGAGACATATATGTGTACCAAATCAATATATACGCCTTAGGAATGTCACTTTAGTAGCTGGGTGGAATATGACCTGGTGTGGGAAGAGAGGAATAAGCATTTATATAGCACCTACTGTGTGCCAGTCACTGTGCGAAGTGTTTTACAAATATCACGTTTGATCTTCACAACAACCCTTTAAAGTAGGTGCTACTATGATCCCCGTTTTACAGATGAGGAAGCCAGGGTCACATAGCTAGTTAGTGTCTGAGGCCAGATTTGAACTCAGGTCTTCCTGACTCTAGGCCCAGCAAAGAAAAAAGAGGCTGGATAGCAGATTTGAGGTTACCAATGGATTAAGCTCAGTTCTACCCTGGCTTGTAAGTCAAATGTAAACCCAATAAGAACTCAATCAAGCTGTTTAGGGTTAAATGCCTGGCAATTGATTAGGGAATTCAACAAATCAGGGAGGCAGAAGAGAACAGTTAATAACAGATGGAGTTCCCAGAAGCCTCTGGGAGGGAACATTGGGAGTGGGCAGGAACAGACATTCTCATACACATACACATACCCCGGGATGTGTGATATACCATGACACTCCCAGTAGCACGACATTGGTGTATACAAATATAGGAACCTAACTGATTTTTATAATGAAAGTCACTTCAAAAAATATATCTACTTCAATTTTTTGCCCTACAACATAGTGTTTTTAAGAAGCCAACTCTTAAAATTGACCCCTCGCCCTTCATTGCAGAGGTGGGGGACTATGGCTGCAGAATGCTGCATCCACTGTCAGATGCAGTTGGTGTGTCAGTTGGCTTTGTTGAACTCTCTTTCCCCTCTTGTCTTTCCTACAAGGGATGCCAGGCTAGATAGGGGAGGGGGGAAGGCGATATTTGAAAATGAAGGTGATTTTAAAACAAAAGATATTAATAACATTTTAAAAAGAAAAGACACATCTCTTTCACAAAGGATGTTTATATTTCCATGGAACCATTTTTTTCCCCCTCAGGACACAGGCCCTCAGAACAGACGTCACATTTGTAAGAACACTTGCCATTTCTTCCCTCATTTGAGACTCATAAGAGCCCTGTAGAGAGACCCCAGGGAAAAAATGCTGAAAGATCCTGGCATGCAACTAGGACTTTATGTGGTGTCCTTGGGCAATTCGTGTTTCCTGCTTGAGCCTTGTCTCAGTTTCCTCTGTGTAAAATGAAGGATTTGGACTGGTCCCCTCTTATATCTCTAAATCCTGAATCCTCCATGTAACCAAGGGCAACTCACTTCCCCACCCTGGGTCTCAGTTAGGATTTGGACTAGAAAGTTTCTGAGGTCTCTCTTTCTGCCTCTGAATCTAGAATCCTGTGACTCCCGTGATCTTATGACAGCACCCCCACAAAACCTGAGGTGTGGATGATATTTCTTTAAGCAAAAAGGGCTTGGCATAAAGCCTGTATTTGTGTGTGTGTGTGTGTGTGTGTGTGTGTGTGTGAGAGAGAGAGAGAGAGAGAATGAGAGTGAGAGAGTGAGAGTGTGTGTGTGTGTATGTGTGTGTGGTGGGGGGAGAGAGTGGGGTGGGGGATACTGCTCTGATGACTCCTGTAAATGTATTTTTAGCCTGGCCAAGTGTCAGGCAAATTGACACCATGGGCCCCGGGCCTTGCCGAGCTTGTCACTGCAGGGGTGGGGCGGAGGGAGCTTGGGTCGAATTGGTTCCTTCTTTGTACTTTTGGGAAATTCAGTGTGGCCTGTTTGCTTTAGGTAAGGCATTCTTGTTTCACTGACTCAAGAGCAGGGTTCTTATGTTGTCGCGTTCATTCTCATGGGCTTTTTCCTTATTGAAATAGCAGAGAGAGCCATTGGGTGGGAGCTTGTAACCTCCTTGGGAGTGAGCTGAGGCCTTTCAGAGTTGTTCACGATATGTCTATCTCTATCTATAATCTATAGATATTATTATATATACATACATCGGTAAATATATGTGTATATACTATACATGTATATATAATATGTCTTAATATATCACATATAGATATATGTAAATATATTCATACAAGTCAATATGGATGTATGTGTATGCAAGTATACAGGTATATACATACACACACACACACACACACACACACACACACACACACACAAACACACAACAATCAAACTGATGGGTATGGGATGTTTTCCATACAGACGCAAAGTCCTTGTATATGATTGGCAATGGGAAAGTAAGTTAAGCACACAGCTGGGATGTGACTCACTCTCCCACTCCTTCATGCAGTGGGGCTCCTGACCAGATCCAGGGACAGTGGGAGGAGTGTCTCAATGGATGCAGCTTCCTGACCAGGTTGCTCTGTCTTGGTTACCTGAGAAGTATTTCTCTTGCCTTAATCCCCATCCAAGGTCCAGGTAAGAACTTCTCTGTCATCCCACTCAGCAGCCGGCAGTGTGCTCTCTCTGCTTGCCTGCCTGCCTGCCAGTGTCTCTGAACCAATCCAAAGTCTCCTTAAGCCTGCCCTTCAGGACTCTATTGTCTGCCATCTGGCTCCATTAGACCTAGTCAACCTTCTCGCTCACTTCTCTTGGAAAAACAAGAACAAAACCAAAAAAAAATTATGCCTTTTGTCTTTCTAGTATATTTTACTTCCCACTCACCCCTCCAGACCAAAACCTCCCTTGTGACAAAAAAATCAAATTAAGCCAACGCTCATCTGAGAACGTATTATAGGATCCAAGGTCTAGATCTGGAAGGTGCTTCAGAGACCATCAAGTCCAAACTCCCAGCCTTTTACAGAGGAGCAAACTGAGGCCCTGAGAGGGAAAATGACTTGCCTAGGGTCACATAGCTCATTAGTGTGAGGTATGATTTGAACCCAGGTCTTTCTGACTCCAAGTCTAAGGCAATAGGCTGCCTCACTCCATTCTGTCCTTAGAAATGCTAAGGAGCTAAGAGAATAAATAGTTCACTTTCTCAGGTTGAATCTTATCTGACAAAGTCTACTGTATTCTGTCCTAGTGATAAGAGCTTAGCATTTCTTCATCTCTCTTTGCCATGATTCTCCATCAGTTCATACAAATCTTCCCATGTTTCTCTGAATCCTTCATCTTTATAATTTCTCATAAGGCATAGCAATATTCTGTTACATTCACGTACCACAATTGGTTTGACCATCCTTGCATCTGTTTCCAGTTCTTTGCTGCCACAAAAAGTACTATTATAATCGTGTTGGTGTATGTGGTGCCTCTGTTTCTCTCCCTGATCTCCTTGGGGTATTTACCCAGCAGTCAGTTGGCTGGCTCAGAGGGCTTGGCCATTTTACTCACCCTTCTTAGCATAATTCCAAATTTGCTTTCCACGATATTTGGACCACTTCTCAGCTCTACCAACAGTGTCTCAGTGTGCCTGTCTTCCCACAGCGCCCCCAGCATTGATCCTTCCCACCTTTTCTCGTGAAGTGTGAGGTGAACTCTGCTTTCTGGTGCATTTATTGTGCATTGCTTTATTGTGCATTAATGTATCACCATTAGTGATCTGGAGCATGTTTTCCTGAGGTCATTTACAGTTTATAATTATTTTTATTTATTTATTTAGGCAATTGGGGTTAAGTGACTTGCCCAGGGTCTCACAGCTAGTAAGTGTCAAGTGTTTGGTCTGAGGCCTGATTTGAACTCCGGTCCTCCTGACTTCAGGGCCGGTGCTCTATCCACTGCACCACCTAGCTGCCCTTACAGCTTATAATTCTTTTAAAACTTCATGTTCTTTGACGATTTATCTATTGGAGAATGGCTCTCAGTATTATATAGTTGTGTTAATTCCCTCTGTATTTGGGGGAGTCAGACTTTCATCAGTGCCATTTGATGCAAATGTTTTTTCCTACTTAATTATTTCCCTTTTAATCCTATCTTCATTTATTTTTATTATACATTTTTAAATTTTATGTAGTCAGAGCATCTCTTGTTTAGTTAAGAATTCTCTGCCAGCTATAGTTGATATAGTATTTTTTTTTTGGTTAGGCAGTTGGGGTTAAGTGACTTGCCCAGGGTCACACAGCTAGTAAGTGTCAAGTGTTTGGTCTGAGGCTGGATTTGAACTCAGGTCCTCCTGACTTCAGGGCCGGTGTTCTATCCACTGCGCCACCTAGCTGCCCCTCTGCCAGCTATAATTGTAAGAGGTACCACCTGATCTCATTCTTTTCTAACACAAATCCTCTGCTCTGACCAGGTCAGACATCTAACATTCCCCTACACATGACAGGATCATTTCTACTTCCATAACTTTACGTGGAATGCATTCTGCTTTCTTCTACCCATCCAAATCCTACCCACTCTCCAAGGCCCAGCTCAAGTCTCGCCTCCTCTGGAAAGGCTTCTCTGATGACTCCAACTGAGATTAATCTCTTTTTAGACTTTATGAAATATTTATTTCCTGTATCACATATTTTAGAATTTGATCATATGCTACCTTGAATTAGTTTATGTATCTACAACTCTAAAAGAGATTCTAAGCACCTTTGTTGTTGTTCAGTAATTCAGTCATGTCCAACTCTTCGTGACCCTGTGAACGATAGCACCTCTACTAGAATTCTGTCTTTGGGATTTTCTTGGCAAAAATACTAGAATGTTTTGCTATTTTCTTCTCCAGTGGATCTACCTCTTGTCGGAACTCTCTACTATAACCTGTCCATCTTGGGTAACCCTGCACAGCCTAGTTCAGTTTCATTGAGCTATTCAGGCCTCTCTGCCATGACAAGGAAGTGCTCTAGGAGGGGGTAAGCCTGCTGTCTGTAACCCTCTCAAGCCTTATTGCAGAGCCTGAAAATAAGGGTGAAGGGTGGTAGGTTTTTTTTGTTTTGTTTTGTTTTGTCATTTTATTGGTTGTTTCTTTTGGGGAGGGGAAGGTATTAGAATATTGGAAGTATTCTAGAGAAAGAATAATCTCAGTGGCAAAAAATAAAATAAACAAATGAATCATGTTCAGTTTTACTTTGGGAAAAGCAGAGCCAAGCTAGAGGTCATCCAGAGGAGAGTGACCAGGATGTTAAGATGGCGAGGGACCGTGCCATGCAAAGATTGTTTGGAGGAGCTGGAGAAGAGATAATTCTTGCCCGGGAAGGGAGGATTAAAGTACAACATTATATCAGTCCTCAAATACTCGAAAAGTTCTATGTGGAAAAGGGAATACGTTGTTCTGGATGACCAAGAGGACAGAGCTAGGAACGATGGGTAGAAATTGCAGAGGAGCAGGTTTTACGTAAGAGAAACCTGCCTAATGGTGAGAGCATAGATGATCACTCATCAGGGAGGGCTTACAAGGGGTTTCTGTTCAGGTCTGGGCTGAACTGGATGACTTTGGAGAGAGAACACTTAGAGTCCTGAGATTCTGGGATTCTATACAGTACAAGCCTTCCCCAGATTATCTATGTAATTTTTTGCTGGTTTTTTCCCCCTTCTGCTGTCATTTACCAGTATACCCCTCCCACCCCATTGTGGAACCCTTTCTTGTAGCAAAAAAGTACTATTGAATGAACCAAACCAATACGTTGACTGTGTCTGACAGAATGTGCCTCATTGTGTGCCTGTAGTCCACTACCTCACTGTTTGGAGGAGAGGGGTAAAGGGGTACCATCAGTCCTCTGGAGTCAAGACCAGGTGGTACATTGATCTGGGGTTTACTGTCTTTTAGTATGGTTTTCCTTGACATTATTGTGCTCATTTTGTATGTTGTTCCCTTGGTTCTGCTTACTTCACTCTTCATTAGTTCAGACAAATCTTCCCAAATTTCTCTAAATTCATTTCTCTCTCTCTTTTTTTTTTTTGGTGGGGGGTGGACCACACCTATGTTTTCATTCCTTCCAATGAAGAAGTTCAGTCTAATGATACAGATTGATAGCTGTTCTGCAACTTGGGGTCATGAAGAGTTGCCTGGGGCCTGGAGAGGTCATTGGGGGTCACATTGCCAGTAGGTACCAGAGGCAGAACTGAAACCCAGGTCTTCGTGACTCATAGACATCCTCTCTCTCCATACACTGTGTTGCCCCCTCCCCCCACTTCATCGTTTCTTATGATGCAGTAATATTTCTGTACATTAATGTACCACAGTTTGCTTAGCTGTTTCCCCAGATGATGACTAAACCCTTCTAGGGCAAAACACACACACACACACACACACACACACACACACACACACACACACAGAAATGAAGAGCATTGCAATAAATATTTTGTTATATAATAGGACCTTGCATATCTGTCATTATTCTCTTTGGGGCATATGACCAGTAGCAGAATAGCTGGTTCACAGGCTATGAAGAGTTTAGTGATTTTTCTTTCAGTTCCAAATTGCTTCCATTATTTCCCAGAGTGTTTAGATTAATTCACAATTCCACCAGCACTGTATTAACATGCCCATTTCCCCTATGACCTCTCCAATGTTGAATATTTCCATTTGTCATCTCTGCCTGCTTGATGGGTGTGAGATAGAACCTCAAAGCTGTTATAATTCTCATTTTTCCTATTAGTGATTGCAGCATTTTTTTAAAATGTGGTGTATTAATAATTTACATTTTTTTACTGACACTTTGTATTTTTTGACCATTTCTATTGGGAAATGGCTCTTGCCATATTTATGTTACTTTGCTATATGGCTTGGAGAGTCCTTTTAGGAGAGGGATGAGGACTGAACCTGTGAGTTCATCAAAATAGAGAGCTCCCAAATGAGGAAACTCCCCCTACCAATTTCTCTGTGGCATATAATCTTAGTTGCCTAGAGGCCTGGAGAAGAAAGGTCACTTACTTGCCTTGGGTCAAGCAGCCAGTGTGGATCAGATTCAGGACTTGAACTCAGGTCTTCCTGGCTCCAAGGTTAGCTACCTCTCCAGTATACTATGCTTCCTCTCAGTTTAAACTTTTATCCAAGATTGTTTAATAGAAAGATTTTCCTGTAATTGAGTTTCCCTTATCCTAGCTGCTACATTTATTTTGTTCATACAAAAGCTATTATGTACTCAGAATTTTCTCTTTTGTGTCAGTCACTTGGTGAAGAATTTCTTTCTTTCTTTCTTTCTTTTTGGTTTAATATTTGTTACAAGGAAAGAGTCAAGGGGAAGGTTGTGAAGGGGAGAGATAGATTCGGAAATATGTGACATAGAAACAAAAGATATAAATAAAAATAAGATAAATATTTTTTTAAAACCCTCCAACCAAAATTGTGAATGGTACATCTATTCATTTTCCTCTAATGGTTTTTTTTTTAATAATGTCACCTTTCATATTTAGGTTGCATGTTCACTTGGCACTTTTTATGGTATAAGATGGTGATCTAAACTTAAGTTCTGCCAAACCACTTTACAGTTTGCCCAGCTGTTCTCAATGAATAGGGGATCCTTCCCCTGCTGGTTTATGTTCTTTGG